TTAATGATATAGCATCCAAACATTGTGAATTTTATCCAGACATACAAAGTGGTTTAAAAAATATTTATGGCTCTTCCACCAACGACAGAGTTAATCGAATGAAAGTTTAGCTAAGGCATGTTAAAACATGGCTGCAATCTATTCGAACAGTGCGAAGTCATGGTAGGGAAAGCAAAAGCGATACTAGCGCAAGCTGCGGATAATTCGAGTACTTTAGGGCGATATTTTGTAATTTTGGCGTATCAAATACACGTATACATTTTAATTTTTACTAAAAAATAGGTTAAAAACAATAAAATGAGCAACCGGAGTTGCTATGTTACAATTTTCAGTAGCAAAATAGAAATTAAATCAAAAAATGAATAGATAGCTGTAAAATAAGAAGAAAAAGCCTTTATTTTTGTAATAATAACAGTAATACTGGAAATAATAGACATCAGAAAAGGTTTTAAATAAACAATAAATTATTATTTTATGATATTCTTTAACATCCCTTAAGTCTTAAATGTTTAGCAAATGATTAGATTTCTGCCTTTAATTATTGTATATGGCTGAAATGCAATCTTGTGACTTATTGATAGGAAACCAGTTTTAATCATTAATTTCTATGGGTTCTTTCGAACTAAAAATGAAGAAAATATAAATTAAAATTGCAAATATACCAATTATTTTTGTTAATACGTTTTAATTCTACGTTATTATATAATAGTAGTGTTTTTATTTTGACATTATTTAATCTATTCTTCAATGACAACTTATTAGGCTTAGGCAAGATCTCATACATTTTCTCGTAAATACCTACCTATGTTTTATTATTGATTTGTATTGATTATACTACTTTTTTTAGCTGACGTAATAAAAATATATAATAATAGTATTATTAATAATTTTTTCACTTGTTTTATAAATCTATATACTTTTATTTTGTCTTTTTTTGTTGGGTTATTTTATTTATTAGAGACTTGTTATGACAACTTAAGTATCAGTTCTGTCAAATAGGTCGGTGACATTGTTAGGGTTACTACTACAGTTTCACTCCCCCTTAGCTTCGCTATTCAGTGAGATATCGGATTAATTTTGTTCTGTTTGAAAGACTCTCTTATGATGGATTCAATTGTTCTGTGACGTCATGGCTTACTTCCGGTTTTTCCGAAAATAACAGATTTTCTTTTATTTTTAAAAGGAAACCCTCTTTTTTATTGTAAATTTAAATTTCTGGGACATTTTTGTATAATAATCGTGTATTGACAATTTTCTGTAAACTGTCAAAATGGTTGCCATATTGGATATTTTTTTCTAAATATGTTACTTTTAATTCGTTTATGGAAAAACATATAGGAATGTACATACTTCATAAAATCTTTTTAGGCTTCAAAATTCCCATTGAGACCCATTTACCGTATACCAGTAGCGTATCTAAGCATTTTTATTATTAGCCAACCGATTAATAATTCTATCCGCTTTTATCTTCGTTGTTAATTGAGATATTGGAATGAAAACTTATTTGTTTAAAAGCTTGGGACAAATAATCTCATATACTGGATTCAATTGTTGTGTGACTTCATGCCTTACTTCTGTTTTATCGGAAATAACAAAATCTTAATTTATTTTAAATTTTTAAATAGTAACCCCCGTTTTTATTGAACATTTGAATTTTAGGGACATTTATGGATAAGAATCATGTATTGAAAATTTTTTGTCAGCTGTCAAAATGATCATCATATTGGAACATATTTTTTTAATATGTTACTGAGAAAATTTTCAATACACGCTTCTTATACAAACATGTCCCAGAAATTCAAATTTTCAATAAGAAAAAGGGTTTTCATTTAATAATAAAAAATAAATTGCGATTTTCTGTTATTTCTGGAAAAACCGGAAGTAAGCCATGACGTCACAGAATAATTAAATTCATCATAAGAAAATTCTCTTCTATGTTTCTTTTTTTTTGTTTTCCAATAAATGAATATACTAATTTTTTTCTAAATTTTGCCCCCCCCCCCCCCCCTATAGAATTGAGTAACGACGCCCATGAATGAAGCTACAAATTATTTTACATTCCTGCAAGAAATCTACAACTTCTTTTCGGTATCGACGATACGTCGGGAGAAACTGAAGAAGAACGATAAATAAAGATGATTATGTAGAAATGATGCCTGCAAGGGTTTTTCGAAGTTTTAGAAAGATATTCACGACACTCAAATGACAGTTCAGATAAGGCGATTACAAAAGCAGAAGCAACAGGATTAATCATGAAAATGACCAGATGTGAACCTGCGTTTATGACTGTTTTGAAATAGTATTCTGAATCGCATCAATGTAGTCAGTAAAACAACTACATCAAGAAGACGCAGATATTGGATTGGTCATCGATTTGTACAAATTCTTCATTGCATTCATTTCATTTTCCTTGTGGATGAAGAAGAGACCAAGGCGTTGATTGGTAAGCAGAACTACACTGCAAGGGAAAAGCGTAGGTACCAGAAAGAGAAAGCAATATTTCAATGATAGCGACGATGATGAAGAAGTTCTGTCCAGTGCTAATAATGATTTTAAAGTAAACGTTTTCCTTACAATTCTGAATCGATTAGGTTATCGCTATATTAGGCAGAAATTCAATCGCCAAAAATGAGCTACATATCTTTGCGTAGTAAATTCAAATCAGAGGGCTGAACGTCTGCCTAATGTAGCGCTAGCGTAATATAGCGCTAGTCTTAATCTCGGAATTGAACTCATACGAAAAGTATAATGCGAGGGAAAGGAAAGGCGATTTGGATTCAGCTGAATATCTTTATTATATAAATATGTTTATATTCTGTTAGAATGAAATTTTTGTTGCATATCTGATGCTAATAAATTTTTGCATAAAATTCGTATTTCTCATTTTAGCTCCTACTTTTAATTTTGTAATCAAAATAAAGTCAGGATACAAAGTTTCAAACCAAAAGAATAAATTTTCCATTTATAATAATCCTGGTGTATTTATGCCATTATTTGTAGCGTTTAAATAGATGATCAAGATAGCCGATTTGTAAACGTTCTTTGATTAGAAAATTTGTATTTAGGCTTTAATTCTAATATAAACAACTTTCTTTTATAAATATTTTGCGTTAAATAATAAATAATGGTACACGTCTCTTAAAACCTTTTCATATTTTATTAATTTATTAACATCCTGTACATCCGATCTAAGATTTTTATATGGTAATCTTATTTTCTAGACAAGCATAATTATTTAAAGAATTAATTTTTGCCGTTAAATTAATAGTAACGATTTTTCTCCTCTTGTGAACTTCATCCGTGTGATATCCTCATCCTGCTTTCTTTTGCTAGGTGTTTTTAAAGTAATCTGAAATATTGTTGTGGGCGAATCGTTCAATTTTAAGCTGCTATAAACATGTGTGATAGGTTTTGTCGTTTATGAGATACAGGGTGTTGCCTTTTTTGAAATATACGAGCTCTGACTGTAAGTTAAAGTTACACAAAACCGATCTTAAAAGAAGATCTTCAAAATCGCATGTATGTAATATTATTTGTAACAATCCTGGCCTGGCCTCTTCGAACGTATTCGGCAATCCATTAGACGTCGAGCGGATGCTTGTATTTTAGCCGGAGGTGCACATTTTGAACATCTGTTATGAAATGTAATACTACTTTTATGTTTATGTTTATCATAATTTAATTCTTCTATTAAAATAATAAAAAATTCAACATCCTGGGCTGGTGTCCTGCCGGTATATTGATAACGTCGATGTATGTCATCATGAGCTTTTGAGTTAACTCCTTACCAGCCTGGTCTAGTTTTGTCTGAATTTAATTTTGTAATTTTCCCCTGAAAAGGTTGAACGCTCTATAAACTGAGCTACCACGCTCATGTCATATGAATTATCTAATCAAATATGTATATGAAATAAAAAATAAAAATAATCTAGGATCTAGGTATAAAAACAATGTTAACAATTTAATCATCAAATCTATTTTAGTATTAATATGAATATTACATAGATCAAAATAGAAATTATGCGCCTGACGTAGGTATTTGACAGCTGATGCGGAAAGTAGATATTCACACACGTGGAAAGTAGATTCTTACCCACACGCGTATGATATAAGGCACTTCCCGTAAGACTAAATAGTGCGATATGTGTCACTTTTCTAATTAGTCGTAGGAAAATTGTATAAACCAGTTGCAGGATTTTTTTTTTTCATTGAATCATTTAAATTTATTTTTGTATTTCCTGGAACAATTTCTTCAGTTCTAATAAATTCATAAAAAAATTTATATATTTTATATATGGTGCAGTTTTGACCTCCTAATTGAAAGTGTCCATGGGCACAATTTCCCCTATTGCTAGTTTTTAAAATATAGAGTGTTGAATTTGTAAATTCTCATACTTTTCAAAAACGCAGTGGCGGCTTGTGAAGGGTAAATCAGTTTCTATTTATAACTTTCATACTGTCTCCTTTGTTCTTCTCGTTCCAATCATAATCTGACGTTTAAATTCATTTCTAAAATACTGGTTACAAAGACTTAGACATAGTGTGACAGCAGTCTAAAGCAAGCGTAGTAGACGCAAATATTGATTCATTCATAAAACGCATACTCGCTCCTCAGATAAACATACTCACACAAACCATTCCCACTCAAATTAGCAGTTGTCCCCTTGTTTCTAATGCAGCAGCCGATGCGACAGCTCTGCCTGCGTGATATAAAACACAATATGCATGATTGCAATAAATGAGGGCTTAATTATGAATTAATGGATTGTCTATTAGTTTTTAGTCGTTCCTAGAAGTTATATAAATTTCTATAAACTGGCTACGAATATACATTATACAAACAAACAGACAGTTCTCACGTTTTGATTTGTTTCCGAATATTGCGACTAACACCTGAGGACAAGGATTATACAGGATGGCCGAATATTATAAACTGATAATTATTATGACTACCATGTATATGTATATATTTCTTTATTGTAAATATCTTAGGAATGGGTGATACATACGAGTTACATAAGGATGAGTCTGTGGTGGATGAAATTAGTTATTTTCGAAATAAATTGTATGTTTCGTTCAATCATGGTTTTAATATTCGATAACTAATACTTATGGTAAGTTTTGAGGCAGCAGCTCCCGGTCCATTATGAGTTACAGTTTCAGAGACCATTACCTACCTACTTAAAAAGTGTATCTGAAGTAGAATTAGAAATATAATTACTTGTAGAATTATAAATATAAAAATAATAAAAAGTTTTTTTCTATAATTTTAATCGCCACAGTAAACACAAGGATCTGCAGGAGTGTGAGGATATTTTCTATCCTTCGTTATACAGTTTAATACCGATCTTATTGGATATCCAGAACCTATGTGACAATAATCTGTGCAGTACATTGCAGGGATAGCATAAATTTGCCAAGGGCCACAATCGCCCTCTGTTGGAGAAGGAAATATAACTCCATTGTCGTATAAGTAAGGATAAACGTCTGAAAAAGTTTGGGTTGTATATGAGCCGCCGTACTCGGATTGCATTCCCCTGAAAACAAACAAAAATAAATATATTTAAAACTATAACAAGGAAGTATGAATTTTATGAATTTGAAAGTGATATATATATATATATATATATATATATATATATATATATATATATATATATATATATATATATATATATATATATACCAAACATATGTGATTTTTCAACATAAGTGTTTTTTCATTTTAATAAAAACTGCTTGCAGTATCGGACTGGGCCGTCGGTCTACCGGTCAAAAGACCGGTAGGCTCTCGTTCAAGCAGTGGGCCCTCGTTCAGGTAGTCGGCACTCGTTCGATAAGTGGGCCCTAGGTCAGGCAGCGGGCCCTTGAGAATAAACAAAAAATTAAATGCAATAAACCCCGTAATACGTGACAGGACCTTTTCTTGCTCTTTAATGAAAATCGGACCAAGAACAAGGTGGGCCCTTTTCCCTCTTGACCGATAGGCTCTGGAGGTCCCAATCCGACAATGACTGCTTGTACCTATAATGAATTACCTACATCTTTAGAATGTGTGTTGAGTTAGAATGTAATTCAAAATTCAACTTGTTTTGTAAAGCAGTTAAAAATTACGCATAATCAGATAGTGAGTCACCAAAAAGAGGTGCTATCTGGTTCGAGCTATAATTTGATAATAATTTAAGGGAGTCAAATAAATTATTTTGACTTTAGATTAAAAAACAAAGTTCGATACATTCAGAAGCGATGATTAAAATACAAATGAAATTTTCATTTTTGAACATAAACACTTACCGATGCGGAACACGTTGCCATCCTCTTGAAATATTTTTATTTGGATACTGAGGTTTCATTACTTGTTTGTCGAAAACCTCTTTATTGCCTGTTAAATTGCCTCCTAATAAATACTTCGATTTCTGAAATATTATTTTTTAATTTTAACAGCATTCTACTTCTATGCAGTATGTATTCTTTGCATTCCACAAATCGAAAAGACTAACACAATGTAATCAAATAATTAACCTTTGAATTGCGACTAGGGCTGGCCGATTAACAAAATAAATAATCGAAATCTTTTAATAAGGCAAGAACCACAAAACTCAAAGAGGACTGGGATACTTAGAAATCTCACCTCAGAGAATACAAAAAAAATCATCAGACAAAAACAGAGAGAGGCATGGAGATATCCTACTGCGAAGAAATCGAAGATTCACATCAATCCCAATAAGACAAAAATGGTCCTTTTCACAAGGAAAAGGATGAAAATGGAATTAAAACCTCCAGAACTCCTAAACACTAAACTTTGCAACAGGGGTGAAATACCTAGGTTTCACCTTTGACACCAAGTTAACATGGAACTCGCATTTAGAAAACAGAGTTAAAAGAGCATACATTGCTTATGAACAATGCCGCCTAACCGTGGGGCGCACCTGGAGTTTCTCCCCAGAGTCGTCGGATGGACTTACACGGTTATCATAAGACCTATGCTATCCGTAAACTAGAAGAAATTCAAAGAACAACATGTCTCAACATAACAGGAGCCATGAAAACAACACCGACCAGAGCCTTGGAAGTTATTCTTAGTCTCACTCCCCTTGATATTTACATCAAGGAGGTTGCTCTGTCGACAATGACACGCCTCCGCACAGTTGGAATAGAACCTGATGTAGGATCTGGTGAGGCGAGACGTCGCTTTTGGCAGGAGGCGCTCGATACGCTCCCACTGCTTCAAGCGAACATGGTCTCCATCTCACCGATATATATCTTCCATAAGCCATATAAAGTTATAATAGAACAAATAGAAGAGCCGGAAGAGGCAGGTACGATTCATATCTACACCGATAGTTCTAAAACAAAACAAGGCTCAGGATGTGGAATATACTCCAGATTCTTAAACCTAAACATAAAATGGGCTGTGAGCAATAGTGCCAGTGTAGTTCAAACAGAGCTAACAGGGATTCTCATAGCAGCAAAAGAAATAACCAGAAACAATATCACTGGAAGGAACCTGCTAATCTATATAAGTAGCAGACAAGCACTACTCACTCTGAACAGACCACGAATTTACTCAGGGTTAGTACTAGAATGTCACGAAGCTTTGGCCGAGGTATCCATCAAATACTTTTTGGACCTGGCCCTTCTATTGGCCTGACAAAATCGGTAGTGACAGACCTAATCAACGAACATTCCCTTGTGAAATTCAAGGAAAGATGGGATGAAACAAGAAACGGCAGAGTTGCCAGGGAGCTCTTAAGTTATCCTGACAACACTGCAGCAAACAAATACTTGACTATGACTAGACAGACTCTGCACCTAGTCACAGGCATTCTTACTGGTCATTGCCAAGTACGGAAGCATCTCCATATCATGTGGCTGTCAGAATCCGCACTTTGAAGAGGATGCGAACAAGAAGATGAGACCATCGAGTATATCCTTTACGATTGCTCGACGCTCTCATTTATTAGAAGATTTGTGTTCGGCGAATATCGGCTAACACCGGCCGATATAAGAGAGAAGCACCTCTTGGCGACGTTGTTAATTACATTAAATCCGTAGGCTGGCTCACGAGCTACAAGGTGCCTACCACCCAGGAGGATGCACAATGGGCCTAGTGCCGTGGGGGTAACCCACCCTCCACACGTTACAGATACAGATATACAGAATCGATTATCGATTATTTAAAATAATCGAATAATTGAAATAATCGAATAATTGAAATAATCGATTAATCGAAATAATCGATTAATCAAAATAATCGATTGAAAAGGTAATTTGATGGAGAATTCGTCAATAAGATAATTCATTGCGCTACTTTTGATTTAAGCACCCTCTAGCTTGATAAAAAACTGTTATGTATTGTAAAATGTACACTTCATTTGAAAGCTAATTTTATTACTAATTCAATGCACCACAAATCTTCATATTGCACTTGAATAAAGTTAACTATAATGCAAACAATTACTAATTTTTAGACTTTTGCAAAAGCAATATGAAGATATTTAGATTAAATTTATGTGGTGCATTGAATTAGTTATAAAATTAGCTTTCAAATGAAGTGTCCATTTTACAATACATAACAGTTTTTATCAAGCTAGAGGGTGCTAAAATCGAAAGTAACGCAATGAATAGTCTTATTGCCGAATTCTCCATCAAATTACATTTTCAATGATGTATCATCCTAGGTATAATCTGTATAATCAATTATTGCCATCAATGTAATACAGTGTGGGTCAAAAAGCTCGAAAAAAGGAGGAACATTGATTTCTCAGAAAATTTCTGTACAAAAAAAAAGTAATTGACGATGTCTAGTTTTGGATTAGATATACAGGACCACAAAAAAGTAGGTGTTACAATAATTTTTTGGAAATAATAATACAGATTTAAAGAGTAGTAATAAACAAATATTATTTATATTGATAATCAATGAGGCAATTATTTAAAACAAAATCAATATTTTGAATGAGTGATTTTTTTGTCGATAATTAGAATGATAAAATTCAAATTTCTATTACTCGATTAATCGATTATCCAATTAATCGAAAATAATCGATTTATCTAAAATAGTCGTTTTATCGAAGATAGTCGATTTATGGAAAATAATCAATTAATGGAAAATAATCAATTGATCAAAAATAATTGATTAATCGAAATTAATCGATTAATCAAAAATAATCGATTGATCGAAAATAATCGATTAATCAAAAATAATCGATTAATCAAAAATAATCGATTAATCGAAAATAATCGATTGTTTTGTCCACCTCTAATCGCGACCTCTGCATTTACAGTGCTCTTTACATCTTTTCATAAAGACAGCATACTCGGATATCTCATGCTTATTGATATAGAGCAGCCATACTGAACCTGCGGCCCTCCAAGCTTTTTTTTGTGGCCCGCAACACTATTATTGGTCGCAGCGCTAAATAGCATGCTAATTTTTAATTAAACGTTTGGAATTTTGTGGGTTTACTGCAAAAACAAGATAGCTCCACTTTTGAAATTTTCGAGTTAAGTAGGTACACTTTCTACAAGTGTGAAAGAAGTCTATATTCATGATAAACAGATAGCCAATAAAACCTAACTCCATGTTAATACATTAACAATATGGACAAACAAGATGGAGTGGCATTTATACCAAAACATAATCATAAGATTGTGTTCAATTGATAAGAGTGTCTACCAAAACCAGATAATAAGCATATAACTTATTTTTGCTAAATATATTTAGTCCGATTCTTAATAGTGTTCCTGCCAAAACAAGATAAAGGCCAGAACCTAGGGGAAACCAATAAGGTCAAAACGTACCTGTATTTCGGAAATCACATAAAAAATCCACCTTAATCGATGATCTTTTTTTCTCGTCATTTCCGGTTGTAATCGACGAATTGAGTTCGACTATGATTTTAGATGATGATTTTGGAATTTTCAAGAAAGTGTGTAGTGATTTCGGTGATTTCGAGTGAAACTGTACCAGTATTTTGGGAGTAGTTTGCCGCTACTTATTTTTATTGAATGTGTTTGTTGAAATATTACAACATTGTGCCCACGCATTTGTTTTGTTATGACTAGAGCCGTCTCTGGCATTTCTCGATTGTTCCGAAATCCACGAGATAATTACGTCACCCTTTCTTTCAGCGATACAGCTAATCTTAAACAACCACTAGATAATAATACGTGATGTTCGAATCTCCGTGATGAATGAGTGATTGGTCAAGATGTAACGGGTGATTGGTCAAGCTGTAACGAGTGATTCGTTAAGCCGTAACGAGCGAATCTTTATGTGAAAATTCGTAAATAAAAGTATCAGTGGTAACAGGCGAATTTGAATTTTAACCATATTTTCTAATAGACAACGTATCGAAAGATTCAGCTACCCTAAATACATTCCACCAGAAAAATAGATTTAATTTTTCAATGGGAGAGGGTGGAATTCGGCTTTATATGCCACACTCGCACAGTATTTATTCGGAGGGATGTATGAAATGATGAAACAAAGTTTTGATAATACAAAAAAGTGCAAGAAGAAAGATTTACTCAAATTTTGCAAAATCAGATACACCTGATGAATTTCACCATTATTATCACATTCTACCTGTATCCAATAATGTTACTAAAACCTCGACTGAAGATAGTGACATTTACATTGAATTCGAGCTAAAATAAGCTAAGTGACATTTTTTCTCTTTTTTTTACCAATTATTGATAGATTATTAGTTTATACTTTGTGAACCATGTTTTCAATACCTTTTTCATTGAAGTTAATAAACGATTTGAAGCTTTTACTGATTTTTTATTCAGTTTTAAAAGTTTGAATAGTGTTTTATCGAAACTGTGAGTTATCTTGTTTTTGCAGTAACACAACGGGATATATTTGTTTTGTGTTTTATTTAATAGAGGTCCCTCTAACCAATTTTAGATAAATGGCCTAAACAAATGTAATCATCCAAAAATATTGCGGCCCGTGTAACATAGCACATATACGAATGTGGCCCGAAGGAAAAAAGGTTGAGTATGGCGGATATAGAGCCTACGAGCGGTGAGACGCTACTATCCTCACAAAAACTATCCTGACAGCATGTATAGAACTGCTGTTCAATCGCTTTATACCCTATCTAATCTAATCTACCTGAAAGAGTGTCAGTGAATACCTATATTATCTAGTATTACTACACATCCAAGAACCAATCGCGGTCGGCACAGCTTAATTGCAGATATTAAATCACCAAAGTTAACCTGCTAACCTAAGCCATTTTCCCCTTCATTTAGAAAAAGTTACTATGTTTCAAAAACTCTTGATTATTAAAACTTACGGGATATGTTCCTATAATATTATATCGTGTAGGTAAATCTCTTCGGGATCGTACGAAATCGACTTCATCATATGGTCTAAAATCTAAACTGTTCTGGGACATATAATTATCCAAGAGTTTAGTATATCCTGGTTTTTGAGGAGGAATAGCCGGCTGAAGTGAATTTGCAACACAGGTAATCTAAAATAGTATTGTTGGTAAAAGAATATAATATTAGTATTATAAGCAAGCTCAATATTAATAAAAAGTAATCCACAAAAAATGTTTCTGAAGATCGTAACTTTACAAACACACAAACATTTTTTGTGAATCACTCCATATTTATAGTTATTTCTTATTTGTTTATAGTAAAATATACAATATTATTTTTATTATTTAAATTGGATAGAAATGTGTACTTACTTCGCATCGAGCTGTTATATCAGGTGGTAAAAGTTCTCTGGTTGCAGGTGTCCATGGTGGAAACCCAAAGGATTCCTTCATTTCAGAAGATCGTATAGGGACGGAAGGAGGTGGACCTTTACTTCGCTAGAAATTGAAATAGTCACAAATTTTATTACATGTATTAGTTGCTTATTTTGCGATGATTGACAAACATATTCTACTTTATGTTTACTTATTCTTCATTTTTAGGGTCAGACAAAAATTGGGTATTTTTCTTTCAGTCCGATTTGCCTTTTTTCATAAATTAATGGATTCATTTTTTTTTTTCGTTTTAACACCATAGAAATTTAATTAATTTAATTAATTTTCGAGTTTTTAGTTTTCTATTTTTATATCATTTTGACTAGATACTTATTATTTATACTAATAATTATTATACTTACACATTCCTGAAAATACCTCTTATCAGTGACTTGATGACCCATTTCATATTTAACCAACGCATCTTCTTGCTTTGGTTTAAAAGAATAATCTCTTTTATATAGTGGTATTTTTTCATCCTTTGTTCTTATATGAGTCTGAAGTAGGTCTAATTTTGGTTTGGTTTTGATTTGCTAAAAAATTAATTATTATAAACCATTTAAATAATTTTCTTACTATAGTCGTGAATAAAAAAACCTCGCCTAAATAGATATTTTTCTCTTCTACTTACACGCTCCCAGTCCTGTGAAATCGGGTGAAAATAATCATGGCTTATGTGGGAAGTAGTTCTGAAGTCTACTTGATTTGGTGTAATTGGAAAACGGTAATCTATATGATCGTGACAATTTGTATTGCACTTTAGATTAAACTTCATGGTGATTGTTTACAAAACCAATACTCATTGTGCGTTCGATGAAGATATATGACAAATCTTGACTAAAGTGTCAATGTTAAAATATATTGATCAAACATATACACTAATAACTTGTAGGAAAACGATCAATACTTTCGGTAGGTATTTCTGGACGGTACTTTGTATTTTTATATATTTTTGGTAGTTATAAATATATGGCATTTTAAATAATTACAAAGTAATTATTACCAACACTGAAAATATTCAAAAAAACAAATCGGTAACATTTTTACCCATAACTTCCTTCGATATAGAAAAACGATAAACTCCAGTGAGGGGTATTTTAAAATTTTAGATACTAATTTTACAATTATTTATAAATGCAAAATATATTAACTGATTCTGTTGAAAATAAAATTACTACTAAGTTGCTTCACCTGTTATTTTGAAGTAATTAGTACAAAATATTGTAGTAGGTTAAACCACCAAACAAAAAACTCTATTTTCACCTTTCTCTTTCCGTCGATATTTCTCTTGATCTCCCCGAACTCATACAGACCGACGGAATGGGGAAACACGTGTTTCGTTATCTAGGAACCCCGAAACGTGAAGATCCGAAATAATCTCGAAGGGTGACTTTTTCACGATTACAATACTTCCCTCTTATCGAGTGAAGTATACTCCATGAGCCTTTTATTTTTTAAAAAATATGCTTAATAGGGAATGCCTCTGAAAATTTGGCCTGGATCCACCCCTGTTTAGCCGCAGATTTCAATCAGACGCCAAATGCGAGGCGCCTTAAAATTTGTAGTTAGACAACACCTTTTACATTAGTGTATTTTAAATTATTATAACAAGATGATAACACCCTAATCTATGATGATAACTAAGCATATTTTATTAGAGATGATACAAATCAGTATTTTTCAGTAACAGGTATGTTACGTTCCGGTTCCAAGTTCGTACCTGTTCCAAATACTAGTTACTTTTTACCTAGTATTTTTACGTCACGTATTCGTACTTTTCGCCTACCGTGATACCGTACCGTACTTCTTATTCCGATTTCAAGTTTACACGGACTAACCAAGTACAAAATAAATAATATGCTAATCTCGCAACTAAAAAATGGGTGTTGGCGAGATTTATGATTTATTTTGGAAGAGAGGTTAGCAGTCGAATGCTGAATTACATGTTTTTATTTGCGGTAATCTGCAGGTGCAGGAACTGCGCGGAAAATTACAAAGGCATTTTTTCCATAAAAATAAACAAACGATATTTCTTAATTTTTGTTATTATATGTAGATATATTATTATTAGTTTTAATTGTGTTCTCATTTAAATCTATTTTATTAAAAGTAATTTGCTATTTGTTAAATTTAATTTAATAAATGCATGGCCAAGCTTCAACTGATTTTTGTATTATCATTGTCATAATGCATTGATTTAATTTTTCTCGTTTATTAAAAAATAAAATAGGTAAAAAGTTTTAAAATTTTTGCATAAAATGAAGGAAAAATGGATGGACAAAAAGTTCTGTACTCTAAAACCACCCCTTAAAATATTTCAATTAATTGTAACACCCGCAAAATAAGACTTACTTAAATATAGATTTTTTAAGTCAAACGGTTGCAGAGATGTTAATTTTTTTCGAAATTTATGGCCTGAAGACCTACAGGCTTCCTTAGAGGTACAACTTGGTATAGAAGTAAATAGCTTTAAATCATATTTTGAAGTGCCCAACACGCACCTGTTCTGTGTCGGTATTTATGCGGAACACCCTGTATATTATATTATATTTTAGTACTTTCTGTACTTTAGCGCCTCTTTCATTTTAGTTAATGAAAATAAATAAAATCTTAATCCAATATAAGTATTTTAATCAAACTTAATTTTAAACCGGCATAAACCGCCATAATAACCCATTCCTAGTTTCTACCAAAAATATGTAACGGGCCTATCCAAGTATATTAGTATAGATACTCCAAGTATTTAAAATACCAAGTACGAACCGTACGTTATCGTATACATGACGTCGGTCGTATACCTAGTCGGCATCGGGTATAGGAAGGAAAAAGGCCAGCTCAGCTGTAACTGGAACTAGTATTTTAGAGAACGCGTACCTGTTACGTTACGTTTCACAGTCATACCTATTACCAAATACACGTTCCTAGTATTTCGTATCATCTCTATATTTTATTGAATTTAAAATAACATTTTTTGGTTTCCATGTGATGGGATAAAAAGTGTTATCACTCGTATATAACATGAAATATTGTTTTGTTATAATTAAATTATTGGTGGTATCCTTACAGGAAAGAGACCATAAAAATAAAACAGAAGAAATTAGATGATTTGATTTTTCAAAAAAAGTGAGGTTAAAATAAAACAAAACAAGATAAAATTCACGATTCATTGCAGGTTTTAGGAAAAATATACAAAAAGTTCCAAACAATTCATAAAACAGGCAAGCTTATATAACTTTTTTTAAAATGAATAAACGCTGTTTAAGTTTTTTATTCACATTATATTGTAATTTGATTTTAATTCGGTTGAATTACAATACTTTTTTTAGATGGATAGCCAAGTTTCAATTGAAGGGTATTTCGTAGACCTAGTAGATGACGCTTGGCGTTCAGATACATTACCAGAAGACGATATTGCTGTACCTAATTGGGAATTAGCTGACCCTGAAGCAGATTCTGGGGACATTCATTTAACACTTAAAGAGCAAGAGCAAAAGTGGAGTGATATTATGTTATCATCTCTCAGTGAACATCAATATTTATAAAGTTTTTCTATTACCAGAGTTATCAAGGTATAACATTTATTTTGGTATAGTTGTAACCAGAGGGTCATTGCCTTTAGTCATTCCCTTTTTAACATAAATCATAAGAATTTTCATCTCATAGCCCCCTGGAGCCGCTTTTGGCCCACGCTATGTAAAAATTCAATTTAAGAACATTTTTGTCATGTAATATTTGAAAATACGGTAATGTCTAGTTTGAGCTCTTTTCGATTACTGAAAAATAAGCATTTGTACTTGTAGGTATTGTAAACAAAAAACCTGTTCTATATTTTGCGCAAATTTATAATAAGGACAATTTTTAAAATAAGAATATGCTGTTTTTTCAATTAATGTTATCAATTTTACAGGAAAGGAAGTGAATAGGGGTTTTGTGTCATAATTATTAATTTGCACATGATAAGAAAATAAGATTTTTTGTTTCCATATAGTGATATCTCCAAGTATGTATGCTTAGTTTTTCATTAGCAAAAAGAACTCAAAATAGACAATGAACAAGAATACTTGCAATTTCACTACCGAATATATGTTTATTTTGTGGTGTGGTTTTGTTTGTGTGAATTATGGTGTGGAAGGGAATTCTTTTAGTAACCAGTAAACATTTGTTTAAATGTATTTATTATTTGTATTTATTTGATATTATTTATTAATATTATGACACTCACATCTGGCAACATTGAATTGAAAAATTGGATGAACTTACATGTGCATCCAGTGTGCCTGTTAGTACATACTTTCCTACAACTTTACCCATATTTTATTTGGTAAATGTCTAGTTGGAGCCCTTCTTGAATTGTCAAAAATTATACTGTCACTACTAAATTTCTCACTGTCATAATATTCTGTGGACATGTATTTATGTATGAGACTATTTTCAATAAAATATATTTCAGATTAAATAAAACATTTTAAAATAAGGTAAGTAATATAATAATACAAAAAAACACCCACAATATAACAAGAATTATTACTGCTTTAAAGATAATAGTTTCTTAATTATTATGCATTATTGAAATATACCCCATAAATAATACCACAAATTATTTTTAACAATTAATTCACTATTAAGCAAGAAGATTTGGCATTTGATTCATTATGAAAGATATCTTTCCAGTTCCTATATTTAATAATACACATGAAAGAAAGAGTTAAATATGGCCCCAAATTTGCCTGTCGCCATATAAATGTAAACGGGAAGCACAATAACTTTGATTGTATTAGAAGCACTTTATTAACTAATCAAAAGGATTGGACCCTGATAGTCATAATGTAAAACAAAGTTTGTAGTAATATATATTTGATTTCAAACAAAATAATATTACCATGGTAACATAGCAACTGTTACCTAAATTAGTTGTTTTGAATCAGAAGAGTTAAATGACACATAGCTTTAAGATTTTATTGCTTTTCTTTATTTTAGAGTTAAAGGAATTGAATATATAAAGCCGCCTACATCTTGTGCCCACTGTATAATTTTTCACAACTACGACAACCGTCGCCATATTTGTTTGGTTTGGGGTCTGTGACGTTCCACTATCACGGTCCATTTTGTTGCAGTAAATTTAAATGAAAAATATCCACACTTAATAGTTTTATAGAAAAAATACAAAAATAAATCAAAAATCCTATAAAGGGGACCTTGTAATTTTCGACCTCGCCTTACTATGGCCACCCCATGTTTTTTCAATGGATCACCCTGTATATTATTGCATTTTCTCTTCTTTAATATTCGATTCCAAAAATTTATACAAGGTGGGCCTCCAGTAAAGCCTCGGTTTGTGGAATCAGAACTAATTGATTTTTTTAAAATCTGTTTTCACAGCAAGATGTATATCAGACAAGACAACAATTTAAAAATAATTTTGTACAGCGTTTTCCAAGAAAGTGATACATATCAAAGGTTTTTTTTTATTATATATTTTAATTGTCCTCGCTTTTCCCTTTATAACTATACCAAATAGTATGAGTTTATGAGTATTTCACACGCTACAACCAGTTTTATATTTCAATGACCTGTAGAGTGCAAAACAAACAATTGAAAACCAATTTTTATTTATTTACTAAAAGTTTTTGACAATTTTTAATAGCACTTCAACATTTAGTTAAATATATAAATAGCCAACCAATTCTAGATTCCTTTTTGATTTTTCTAAGCTAGACTCACTCTATTATAATACCTACTTTATTCTAAGTTCATTATATTTTAAAGTTCACTTTGAAACCTCGATACTGATAGTTCGTTATTACTAACATCATTAGTGTTGCGATATATTTTCTCTAGCCAGTTTTTTAATATGATCTTTACTCGTGAATAAGAGAAGTATTTCGAGTATTACTTAAAAAAAGCTGTCAAAATAACACTTAATAAACTTAGAATAAAGTAGGTATTATGTGAAGTTTTTGATTGCTATTTTTATTTATTTTTTACTGAATATAAAACTCGCATTAGGTATTTAAAATAATTTATTCAATAACAGCTGGTTAAATTCTAATTGACAATTAACAATCGGTCTATTTCCTAGTAACCATTGATCAGTTAAAATTAGAATATTTTGTGAACTTACTTTAATCTTATTAAAATTTAAAAATTTCTCAAAATTATGAACTTTAGGTATAGAGAATGCTTAGCTCAAATGAAACTTTAATCAAGGTACTTTTAAATGGTAAAACACAATAAGCCAATAGGCTTCAGTGTTATTCGGAGACACATAGTCAGACGAGCCCAGGAGAAAGAAAAAAAAATGGTGACAAAATCAAACTGAGAAAATGATGTATTTGAATTTTGATTCACCCTGTACAGATTTTTTTCTAATTGAAAAAAAGTAGTGCATCGGCCTAAATGTTGACTAATAACGAAAACCTTTTAACTGCCAAAAAATTGGTTTTCAATTGTTTAAAATTAAAATCAATACGATTTCCATATAAAACTGGTTATAGCGTTTGAAATACCCTGTATAATCTCATACTATTTGGTATTGTTATAATAGGAAAATAGAGAGCAATTCAAATATAAAAGGGTGTCCCATTTAAAAAACCTAACTTTGATATGTATCACTTTCTTGGAGAAACCTGTATAATTGAAATTATTTTTATATTGTTGCCTTTTCTGATGTACATCCTGCTGTGAAAACAGATTTTAAAAAATGATATAGTTTTGGCTGTACAGACTGAGGCGTTACCAGTGATCCACCCTGTATACTTGATGTGTATGGTGAATCATTTGGAAGTTGAGCTTTGGTTTTCGCTTTATCTGTTTTTTTTTCTATTCTATTATTATTGACATATATATTGTATTTTTGTTCATTAAAGCCTCACCTTTGAAATTTTATAGGGTTGATAGTTTTCATTGAAATTCTCTGTATATTATTTATATTATATTTTTTGGAAAAGCGAACCTGCATACATTGCTATTTATTTTTCATTTGTGTTTTAGTTTTTTTTATTTGCAATGGAATTACCAGATATTGGCAAACGCTGTGTTCATCCACATTGTAAACAATTAGACTTTCTTCCTCTTCAATGCAAATGTGGAAAAGCTTTTTGCTCTGAGCATTTTATTATTCATTCTCAAGAGTGTGAACTTTCAAAATTCCTTAGTGATGAAGAATTGAAGACAATAGATAGTGTATATGTATGTTCCAATCTTGATTGCAAAGAAAGAAGCATTATTCCGTTAATATGTGAAAAATGTAAAAAGCATTTTTGTGTCAAACATAGACATTTAACTGAATGTGATGAAAAGACAGAAGAAATGTTAAAAATAGAAAAGGAAAAATATGCTGCTCCTATGAGAGTCTTCAATGCAGCCAAAGCTGCTGTTGACAAGCAGGTAAGTTATCAACAACCTAGGGTTTGAATAATTCACATGCAGTGGCGGCCCGTGACCAAAATTTTGGGGGTTCACAGTAGCAGAATATAGATGTCGGTACAGATATAGGTAAAAAACTGTCAGTGTTTTAGAAAGGTATATTGTAAACTTTTTTAAAACACTGAAAGTTTTTTCATATATCTGTACTGACATCTATATTCTATCACACACAATACATAATAAAAGTTTAAAAACTCTCCCAAATATGGGCTTAAAATTTAAAACGTAAATGGTGAGAAAATATAAATAAATTCAATAAAAAAATGAAATATTTGATATTTATAACTTTTGTAACTTTTAAACCAATCTCTCACTACATATCTTGATATTGTTTTTTAAATAACACTGAATTTTCGGGCATATATAGTGATCCTCAAAAAAATTTCTATAGTAGGACATAACCGACAAATACGAAAGGTTCTGAATATGAAGACTAGAGAGAAGGAGGCGAATCGGCAATGGTCAAATTTCAAATTTCCGTCCTTTTTATAAAGTTCACTAAATTGACTGTAGTTGGCATGTCGAATAGCAGCGGTGTGAATTTTTTATGTAAGTCAATGTAAAAGTGATTTTTTAAAAAATTGGTAAAAAGAATCAAAATAATGTGAAAAAAAGTACCTGGGGACAAGTAACATGAGTGACAAAAAACATCAAATCAAGATTTACGTCGTTCCAGATTGTAAAACAGGATACAAATCAAATGTAAACTAAAGAAAATACAAGGAGAAATCAATTCAATGTCTTTTTAAAGCTTCTAATGTAAGTAAAATAATGTATTTTTGTCTAAATATAATATTTATTGTAAACTAGTCACAATGTGCATCTTACGGTGTGTAGTTTATTGTATTACAAGTTTTAATAATGGAAAATTTTACAGTCCTAGATCCTGACTTACTAACAACAATAAATATACATTAAATTTAACTTACTAAAAAAGACAATTTATTTTTTATAGAGTTTTAATGTTAGATAAACAATTTCTCTGTTATTTTTTTGTTGAACCCTAATTGTGTCATTGTAAATGTTTTTATAGGATACTAAACGCTTAGAACAGTGGCAGCATATACAGGGTGGCCACTTTTTTAATGGGATTGTATTAGTAATTTCCAAACCATACTAGTTAGAAAGTCGGTTAAATGGAGAAAAAGTTGCGTATCTCGAAGCATAATCTAGCGGTGGAAATTAATCGAAAATAGCAGACCCGGTTCTCGAGATATTTCGATAAAAGGAAATTCGACCTTTTCGGTTTTTTGGTTATCGTTCATTTATTTTTAGAACTACTAAAAAATATTTTAAAGGTTTTTTATTTGATAGTAAATTTTCTTTAATTTGACGTTTTCATATTTTACATCCAACGTTTCGTATTCTGCGGACCACCCTCAACTTATTTTTTTTTAAACATGGAACTGGATATTTTATAACATTATTTGAAATAACTTTTCATCCTGCATCCAGTGGTGTATTACACAATGGCATTCAATGACGGTTTTTGGGTAATATGGACCGTAATTCAAATTTTATTGGTACGGATCTGTATTCAATTTATAATCAGTGTTAATTTTTAAGTGTATAATACTTCGAACATAAAGTGATTAATTAAATAAATGAGAATCAATAATTATTCAATTATTCGACTATTAAAAAATATGTTTTGATAAGATAAATAATTAAAAAATATTCCCGATTCCATTTTTGACAATACATACCTACCAAATTCAGGTTCATCATTCAGTAATTTTTGGAAGTATTGTTTCCATCTTTGCATTTGCTAGCTTTTTCCTTCTATTAAATTTCCCTCCTCCTTGATGTTAATATTTTTTGGCGAGTGTTTTTTTTTTGTATTCCATTTATATCTTTATAGAAATGTTTAATTTAATTTTTTTTTGTAATTTTCTTGTATTTCTGCGACTTTTTTTTCTTGGTGACGCCTTTTCTTATTTCTACACATATTTTTTAACAGCCTTTCTTTGTTCTATATATTTTTTTTCGTCTGAATCCTTCCCTGTTTGTAGGTAGTTTGTGTTTTTTTTTTTAATTTCTTCATCACATTCGTTATCTAACCATTCCTTTCTTTTTTGCGTTTTTTTCTTATTAATATTTTTCTCAGTTGGTGTTTTTATGGCATTCTCTATGTTATTCCATTTCTTCTCTACTATGTTGGCGATGTTTAAAAGTGGTGTATTGTCTAGACTTCTTTCTTTGTCTGCTCTATATCTCCTTGATACCTCGTTTACTTGTAATTCTTCCAAGTTATATTTTGTGTTTATATTTCTATTGATGTTTTGTTTTGTTGTTATCCCGACAGAATGCAACAAAGTATAAAAAATTTTCGGCGTTTATCTACAACTCTTCTCAAACATAACACATTTGATAAACTTAGAGTTCCGTATGTTCGAAGAAAAAAGCCAGTCAACGATATTAATGTCTTACCTCAAATTCGAATAAATCCAGGAGTTGGGTCGAGGACTATTGCAGGTGAATGTAATTTATCAAAAAGTGTTGTTAATAAGATAGTCAAGAGACACGGATACAAAACGGTACAAAAACTATATAGTAATGATCCTGAAAGAAGATTGCGATTTTGTAATTGGTTTAAACAGAAGGTAAGACTTAATAACAACTTTGGACACAATATCATTTGGGGAGACGAAACAACATTAACGAATTCTGGTATGTTCAATAAAAGAAATCAACATTTTTATGTCACGGAAAATCCTCACCCAATACAAGAATTGAGACATCAATATCGTTTCTCTTTGAATATGTGATGCGGTTTGTTGAATAATAAATTACTGGGACCATACTTTATTGACGGAAACCTTACTGCGGAAAAATATTTAGATATACTGCAAGACATGTTAGAGTACCGTCTTAACGAAATATGATTCCAAAAAGATGGATGTGGTTCACACAATTCAAGAATGGTCACGGATTATTTGAATCAGACTTTTCCCAATTCATGGATTGGAACAAGAGGTCCAGTGGCGTGGCATGCCAAATCTTTAGATCTGAATCCATTAGATTTTTATTTGTGGGGACGTCTCAAAAATAAAGTGTATAAAACATCGAATGCAACAATTGAGATTCTCCGCGAAATGATTGAAGATGCATTGGAAGATATCCAAGAAGAAGAAATAAGCAATAGATAAGAAATGATAAGAAAGTGTATTGAAGAAGATGGCGGACATTTTGAATAATTACTCAAATATTTTTATTGATATTTTCAAATAATTTGATTATGACTTACAAAAACTGAATTTCTTTTTGTTATTATCAGTAATTGCGATTTAAAATTTCTACATTACTATTGTTGTTGTTGTTGATGAATTGTTTAATTTTCGAAAAATTACATAAATTTTGTAAGAATTGATTTTTTTTTCTATCGAGGGGCATGACATGTTGATTCAACTAAAGATGGCTGAAACCAAGCGTAAATTTAATAAAATTTGGATTACGGTCCATATTACCCAGAAACCGTCATTGAATGCCATTGTGTAATACATCGCTGGATGCAGGACGAAAAGTTATTTCAAATAATGTTATAGAATATCTAGGTCTATATTTAAAAAAAATAAGTTGAGGGTGGTCTGGAGAATACGAAACGTTGGATGCAAAATATGAAAACGTAAAATCAAAGAAAATTTACTATCAAATAAAAAACCTTTAAAATATTTTTTAGTAGTTCTGAAAATAAATGAACGATAACAAAAAAACCGAAAAGATCGAATTTCCTTTTATCGAAATATTTCAAGAGCCGGGCCTGCTATTTTCGATTAATTTCCACCGCTAGATTATGCTTCGAGATAGGCAACTTTTTCTCCATTTAACCAACTTTCTAACTAGTATGGTTTGGAAATGACTAATACAATCCCATTAAAAAAGTGGCCACCCTGTATATCGTTACTAGTGCCGATAAAGCACTTTCTAGAGATGAATGCTGTTCTATACTTTTTAGAAGATATTATCACATATTATGATACTATTTTTACTGATGGTACTGTTACCAAAATAAAAAGGTGAAAGCTGAAATTAAAGGATAAGGTAATACCATGTACATTCCTAAATCTCCCTTTATATTTGTATTAAAACAATAAAAAATCTGTTAACTGTGTTTTATTTTGCTCTTAAAACTATAAATAGGTTCAATTCAAAAAAATTTTGTCACAAAATTGTACTTATCAAATTTCAGCATTTAACAAACCTTTTCTAATTTGATCATACCTACCTAATTTGTATTTTATATAGATAAAATTAAATAATTTATCAATTAAAACATGCAAGACTTATTTAGAAATAAATACAACAGTATGTTCTGTGCTTTATTTAGCTATAAACAAGTTTATTTTTATTATTTTGACAAAATTATGTATAATTCCCATAAGAAGCCATGTGTTTTGAACACCGTTAGCAGTACTACACCCATGCGGTTGATTATAAAAGCTCAATTAGTGTGCGTTTTTTGGGAGCGTATTTTGAGTATGCTTATTTGCCTCCTTATCTCTAGTCTTCATAGTTCTGAATTAAATCCAAACTGACACCTAAAAATAATTATTGTACGCTCCGTCAAACGTGAATTTTTCCAAACCCTACTTTAGAAGCCTATTATGTGGGCCATTCCATAGAATTTTTCTTTTTAGTTGGAATCAAATCTGAATGAAGCCAAAAAGAAATCGAAAACAAGAGACTTGGCAAATAAAGTTCAACTAATGAAAATAAAAAATAAAGCCACCGGTTCTAAATCTATACCAACAGCAGATCGTCTATACTTCAATATCACCTATGCAGAAAAAACTACACCTGTATTTGTTTCCAGTCAATGGAGTCTTGGAAGGGTCATTGATGCTATATCACAGGAAATGAGGCTTCAAAATAATAACCATAAAGCTACAGAGAAGAAATTGAAGTTGTTCAAAAAGAATGATCATACAGTAATTTCAAATAATTTTTCAATTAGTTTAAAGAGTCTTTTGGAAGATAACATTATCATTGATGGAGACAGTCTAGTTATTGAATATGTGGATAATAGTGATAACATTTAATTTTACATTCTAGTATTTCCAGTAACTCAGATTATTTGCGTACCATATTTATAATTTTTAATCTTTTTTAAATCATTAATGTAAATGCAAAAGTATGGAGAAAATCATAAATAAAAATTATACAATTTTCACATTTTTTTAGTTTTTGTATTTGTTTAAATATTTCTCAATATAAATAAATACATAATCAATTATCTTCTGGGGAATGGAAAATATTGCAACTTTCATAATATAAATAAAATTTTGAAAAACCAGTTTTTTTTTGTTTCAACATGGTGTATTTACAGAAGCGTTAATTTGTTTGTATTTGAAATGTTTGCATAATTGTGATAAAAGTTTATATTTTCACCTGGTGAGGTTATCATAATATGGACACAGTAAATTATTGAAATTATTTTTCAGTGGCGTAGGTATCGAATTTTTTTATCTTTTATGTCAAAAAGAGTTTTGAGTTTTTGTTATGAAATCGATTTTAAAGCCGAAAAATGCATGATTTTTTAATATTTTAAAATAAATGTCAATTTTTCTTCAAAAAGAAATTTTTTTGTGACGGAAAAAAGATTGACATTTTATCTTTCTTGACAGGTAACAAAATGTCATTTTTCCCGGATATTGACAAAAATTTTATTACTTTAAACGTTTCCCTAACAACGCAGGTCCAACGACGCTTGTTCAAAAATTAAAAGTATTTTTAACATATACTTCAGTTACTCTCTTTATGATCCACCCCGTATAAATAATATATAGTAAACATAATAACAACAATATATTTTATTATTCAATCAGTACATTACATTACCAAATTTAAAAATCTTACATAAATCAAAAGCCAACCCTGGCAAGCAGTAAATGCAGTGTAACCACGGATTTCGAATTCCAAGAAAAATATATGTTGCTCCTGCAACTAAAGATGCCATTGAGATACTATGACGATGCTAAAGTGTCCGCACCTTTGCATTACACTTTTACGTCATATATCAAACTCAAGATAGTGGAGCTAGTTAGTTTTGGTGAGAATAAATGCCATTTTTGTAAATAGCAGCTTTTAAATGGTATAAAATCATTTTCATTCCGTCAGTCTTCAAATATAAAAATATTGACTTAAAATAAATCAAAGTACGACTCAAGTCGCCATTTTCATTACACTTTTCCGTCACTCGAAGTGCATCCATAGATTCTTTCGTTCGTCCCACTAGTGTAGGAATGAACTACACCAATTGACACTAAACCTTTCGTTTGGCCCGGTGTAAAATCCACTATACCTTCCTGTCGGCGATGTGGCGTCCATTGGTGGATATTTTCTCCACCAGCTATTTAGCAAGAGTGACTTGCACTCGACATGTATATAAGAAATAGGGAGGAAGTAAACTAGGGTAAATAAGGTGGTGTAATTTACACTAGTGGACACTGCACCAACAGCGAACGAAAGAACATCATCTGTCACATCGCAAAATAGTATTTATATCGTCTCTACACACATACATTTGCCGCGTTTGAGAATCCACATCCGATGCATTTTTTACATCTCGAGCGTTTTTTTATCCACATCGGACACATCTACTACATCTACATCTGCGTTTGTTTATCCCAGATGTACCTGTTCAGATTACATTTTTTACATCTCGATTTGAAATGAGATGTGAATGAGATGTTCGTTCCATGCTAGAAAGTAAGTGTTCTGTGAAGCCTTGTTTGTCAATTTTTCCTTTGTTTATGCTAGCATGAATATAAAAGTGATTAGATTGTTTAATTTTTGTTAATATTTCAAATTTAAGTTGATTTGTAGTCTCAAAAGTCAAATTTAATAAGTATAAAGTTCTAACTTGCCATTGACATTTTATCACGTGACCAAATAAAGTCTAGAGCGTTTGTTTATTACATCTACATTCAGATCTAATTCTCTATCACGTGATAAAAAATTCACAACATCTCAGATGCATCCGATGTGGATTCTCAAACGCGGCATTTGATTTTCTTTTACTATACGGAGAATGGTCGCATTGCGCAGCTTTCTGAGTGCCTTTTAAAAGGAGATAGAAAACTCCGCCATTCTGAACCCTTATTACGTGTTGCCTACATCTTGGCGCAATATTTTTAATAGGTGCGTTTTAATCATCCGCTTCTGCTTCGGAATTGTCGGATTTCTTGTTTTAATCTGACAGGTTAAAATGATTGATGCAAAATTCTGAAATAAAAGGCAATTTTTTTAATTTCTTTTTTATTACAGTAAACGTCGCATCATATAATTTGTCTATTTAAACATGGAAATACTCAGACAAATATGAATTTACACCATTTAAATAATTATAAAACAAACCTATCAAAAATGTTTTCTGTAACAAAATCAGCATATATAGTGGTCAAGACCTTTATAAAAGTTTTGCGACTTTTAGTGTCTTACTATCAAGGCGAATTTGAGTGTGGATAAAATTTGCCATACGCTTATTGAGTCGACTAGTTAGGTTGATGAGTATTTCTTCATCCGATAAATGTTTTATTGATTTATTTGTACAGCACTTGTAGATATCAAATTATTATGCATCATCTGGGTACTGTGATAAATGAATTAAGCTTTCGAGCTTAAATTGAACTTACGTTTGGATTTGAAGATTTTTTGGGTAAGTTTTCTTGTTTGATGTCAATGGCATTGAATCAATTTTTGATATTGATGGCTGAGGCTCGCATATTTCATCGATATACAGTGTATTTCGGAGGGCCAACATTTTATTTACAATAACAATGATCATTTAAAAACTGAAAACAAAAAGAAATTTAAATACCAAACCAATTATTTAAACACTGAATCAAAAACAAGTTTGTAAATATTACCATTGGTGCCAAACGGTGCAAGATGCATTTTTCTTAAGACACTCATTTCAAATTGTTTGGTTATCCTTAATATTACGACCGCATATTTAATATGTGGTATAAATTGCATCACTACCAATATGCTTTATAGTTCGTTGCTGAAATCCATCTTCCAATCTGTTGAAAACAAGCTTAAAATTAGAAAGTATTGAAAAATAAATCTATATGAATCAAAATCCAATACACTTTCAACTGCAACAGCCATTTTAATTTTTCTAAGTTTGAAGTTTTGACGAGCTAACAACTGACATTTCGATACGAGTGCTATATCCCGTTAATTGGAGTGGTACTAAATTACCTTCCTCATGTTTTTCCATTTGAATTACCAGCCTCTGGTGAGGTCGGCGTTTAGCGTACCAACTCCATCAGATAATAGCTTATTTTTTCTTCGTTTCAAAAATACTAAAAAAGAACCACATTACTAATGTAATACAATTCCATAATTCCATCAACCTAAAATATTGTTACCATTCTTTTTCGATACCCTATATGTAGAGTCCCATTCATCACCCTACAATTTCATAATTATACATCCATTCATTATAAATAAAATACATCTTGTTGCCAGACGTTTTCGCTACCCGGTATATATTCTTATTTACACTGATATATTACGAAATGAATCGTAGCTGCATGAATATGAAAAGTAAACAAACTACAAGAGTTGTAGTCAGCGTACTAGCCAAGACCGCAAACTACAAGTTAACTCTTTAGTTATTGGCAGTCAATGTGTTAAAAAAATAGAAGTTATGAAAACAAAAACATTTTTTTCCTGTCGTGCTTCCTTTAGGTTTATTTATTAAAAAGATAATAAAACTCGAAACAATAAAGTAAACATTTTATATTCGACGTGTTTACAGGAAAATAAGCAACCACATAAAACTTATCCAAATTATACTACCGCGCTACTGGACTTTAATTATTTCTCAAATTATGATTATAAGCACCTGAACCACAAATTTACCTCATCTTAATTATTCAGAATTTGCCAGTTGTAGGTATATACCCGCATAAGAATATAACTGTAAGATTTAGTGTATAAAATGCAAGAAACAAAAAGTCAACATGCCACTTGTGTATTAAAAAGGCACATACTCGGCTTTTATATTTTCTCAAAAAATAACGATGATATATTTATTGTTCTGCCTTCCTTTAATTGTTCCGAGTGAAGCAATTTTTAAAGAGGCCCTTTATGATGCTATGACTGAAGAAGAATTGCATTTTTATTTTCAAACTGCTGACAGGGATAATATTCCAGAATATGAAATAGTTGAGTTGCCAATTGTACTTCCAATTGAGCAATCTATGAATGAAGATGGGAAAGACAATATAGAAGTATTTGATTATAGTTTCTACGCTTTTCAAAGGTTTGTATTGTTACTGTTTAATTCAATAATTCCAAAGTAGCTATTCAATTTTAAGAGGAACATAGTGCTTTATTCTCAAAAAAAAAAAACAGTAAAGGATTGAACGTTTAAATTTACAGTGATTGAGCGTATGCATTCAGTCAAAAAGAGTCACCAAATTCTAAAATGGATCGAAAATATTATACAGGGTGGCTCATATTGCGGACGTAAAATTAAATATTTTAAAAGAATTCCTACAACTAGTCAAATAGAAATTAAGAGCTGAAATTCACCTTTTTATAAGTGAGGGCTGGGTGTATGGGGTTTAAAAACCCTTTTTTAATACGATTTTAAACGATTTGCTTATCTGTATGACCATGGAAATCGTATTTAAATTAAAGTGTTTTCAAAACCCATACACCCAGCCATAACTAATAAAAAAGTAAACACCTCTGCTGAATTTCAGCTCTTAATTTCTATTTGACTAATTGTGGGAATTTTTAAAAAAGTATTTAATTTTACGTCCGCAATATGAGCCTCCCTGTATACATTTTCGGCCAATATTGAAATTTGGTAAGACTCCTTTTGACTGAATGTATAGGCTCAATGACTGTAAATAAAAACTTCTAATATTTATCATATTTTAAGCTTTTCTGGTGTTTTCGAAAATAAGGCACTATGTTTCTCTCTAATTGATTCAGAGATAACAGGAGATGTAACTGTAACTACAAACAAATATCGTGCTGTCGTGAATAAGACATATTCTAAGGGACACAGATGGATATAATATCCGCTGTTGTCATGCCAATTTTATTATTCTTGTTTTGATTACAAAATTATTTACATATCTTAAAGACGCTAAAATAATTCAATATATTTTATTGCAACTGAACTCAAAAAAAAAATTGAATCATTAGTTATATCAAACTTTACTAAATTAGATGCAATTGTGTAAAAAGAATGCAAGCCACAATTTGTCGTGAAGTGATTGTTTTAGCTCAAAACAGTCAAAACATTTGTTAAGAAGGATACTAGCCACATACAAATTATTTTACCTCTAATCCGAAACATGCAGCTAGAAAACAAATAAAGATATATTTCTATGTAACAAGGTTTTAAGCCTCATTTTTTTCAATTAAATCGTTCCAAAATGGTTTTAAATGTTTTTTAAATATTGGCCCCTATATGGGATAAACTATATGATTTATTCTATTTATCGTAATATTTATATTTCAATAATTTTTTATTTATATTCGACAGATTTAAAACAAATTTTAAACTCAATTTTCTCAAAACTTACTTAATGTGGCATGTAACCTTATTACGCTAAGGTCTTCAATTTCACTAAATTAGAAGTAATAATTTTCAATAAACTCCAAAACCTAGTTAGTTGTCTCTGACCTAGTTAATGTTAAGTTGGATATCAAGTATTTTGTACTAGATGAGGCAACATGGCTTGGCATTTTGTACGTTGATTATTATGGGCGTACAACTGCTTTCACATACATTCATTGATACACATTTTTGTAGTAGGGTCGTCAAATCCTTCAGTGTATCCCTCCCCATACTTCACACCACATGTCTATTCACTCCTGCTCTACAACTGGACCGAATCGACACAGGTTTCGATGCCTGCGTCACGAATATTATATTTTATCAATAAATGTATCTCTTGTTATCTCTGAATTGATTATTAGCCGTTTTTCATAAGATTTCCTTCAAAATCAAAGTTTGTTGTCGATGAGAAAGGGCACGCATTATATATGTTGCTGGTATTCTATGTAAAGCAACTTCCTTAGCTTCTTCTCTTCTATCCAATATTCAATTGAATTTTCTCTAATTTTTTGTAAAGTTTTCATCAGGCCATCCATTAAAGAGACGGAACGCCCAAGGGATTATATCTTGCTTTTGAATTTCAATATTCTCAATTGATTTCGCGGAGAATATTTGCCCAAATCGTCAAGTTCAATATAAATTTAAAATTCGTTATTGCATTTAAGAGACTACCTTCCTCGTACTTTGCTTCCGGAGCATGAGAAGTTTGCTTAAGTTCTTCCAAGGATTCCACCACTTCCGGCAAATTATTTAAGAGGGCTTTCACAGCAACATGTTTTGCCGAACATTTCGTCTGACTGCTTCCTTTTAAATTGGTTTTAACACATTTTTTCGTAGTATCCCATCGAGTAGTAGAGCCGACAAAAAGCAAAATACTTTTTGAATTAATCCAAATAGATTTATTGCTTCCGGGAATGATGAGGTAGAATGGACACAGACAAGATTTAAGGAGTGAGTCAAACACGGTACGAACTCCGCCAGCTCAATCCTTTCTGTAATCCTGGCTTGCACTCCGTTATAGGTGCCAGCCATATTTGATCCATTATCATAAGATTGGCCACGACATTGTCTGATATCTAAACCATCAACTGTCAACTTTTCCATTATCTGTTAACAAATGTGCTCTTCTGTCTTTCCAGCAACTTCTATAAAGTCAATGAAACTTTCTTTTATTTCACACACATCACCAGTTTTTTTACATAGCGAATGACCTGGCTCATTTGTTCTGTATGCGACACATCTGGAGTGTAATCGAACATTATTATATAGTATTTGGCTTCTTTGATGTCGTTTAGAATGCTATTTTTGACTGTATTTGCCATTATGTCAATAATTTAATTCTGTATTGTTTTTGACAAATATGATACTTGTCCCTTTTTTAGGTTTTCTAATTGAAACTTAAGAATTGAATTATGTTTCGAGAGAAGCAAAATTAAATTCAAGAAATTTCCTTGACCAGGCTGAGGACATTGTGTGATGAGATCGCTAGGGGTTTCGTGGGAACCACGAAAAGAAAGACAGTTTGTTGCTAGATATAATACAGCATCCATAACCATATGCAGGATCTGTCTCCATTTTTCTTTTTCGGTTTGAATTACTCGCTCAATGTCATAATCAATACCCTGACATGATTTAATTTGTTGAACTCGAGTTTGCCACTTAATCATACACTGTGCATTTGAGATGCCTCGTGCTCGGTTAATCTCCCATAAGCTTTTTTTCCAAATTAATAAATCCTGTAGTACATAATGCAGATGTACCGAAAGAGGAAGATTTCTGAAAAATCTTGCAGCATGCACAAAAAATTGCATTTTTGTTTTAGAATATACAAGATATTTTAAGCTTTTCGTCATTGGTCAATGTTTTGTACCACATAGCAGATGTTAAATGTCTACCATCGCGTTCAGTTGATTTAAATTCAATGTTTTCTGGATGACTTTCTGCTAATAACAAAGCTTGAGTAGTAAAGAAAGATCGTTGCTGGTCGGTCATTTTTTCAATGTCTGGCCAATTGCCCGGGTCTGTCAAATCAATTTCGGTTTTCCATTCATTCGAATCCGATTCAGATTCTTTGTATTCTGTCTCAATTCTTTCAAATTGTACTTGCACTCTCGCAGTTTGGCTAGACGATGCAGGTGATAAATTTTGATCATCAGGATCGTGCAAAGTGCAAGAAATATCCTCTAGTTGAACATATTAGCAAGCTGTGGCAGGTACTGACGAGCCACTGCCTCCGCTGAGCTACTTTTTCATCTTTTCCCCATATTGTTTTCCCTGAAGGACCTTTGGCCTTTTCTCTATATTCCGGATAGTTTTTTTCTTGATACGCTCATAATTTCAACCTATAAAACATAAATTTGATATGTTGAACACAGTGTGAAAAATATGTATTGTAATAACTTTGTAAACCTCATTCTTTGCAAAACTCAACGATACGCTTTTCGTTCCGCAAAATTGCATTCGGTGTACAATTTTCTTGACAAAATTCATATTTTTAATTTTTTTATTATTTTGATCTATACACGAAAATTAATTTTTTTTTCTCTTTCATTTGATATTTAGTGTGCATTGAAGAGTAACATTAACATGTTACTCTTCTTAATGTCGTCATTTTATAGTTTTTTTAAAATGGATTATGACAGGTAGTACAAAATGTGCCTAATATGCTTAACAAGTATTTAATTTTTTTTAAAATCACTCAACGTTTTGGGCAATTGAAAACTTATCCGATTATGGATTAAGCAGGTAATAAGACCCAATAAACACTTGACCTGTTTTGCACGATTTATGCGCATCTCGGGCGTCGCAACTCGAGCGGAATACTTAATTTTTCGCATTTCGAGCGTAAGGCTACAGGTAGATTAAACACCCTTCGCAACTCGGGCGTTCAAGGATCAGTATCAATATTATAGTAATATAATGAATGTCACCTTTTTAGTTTAACCTGAGAAAGTGCTTTCGGCTTAAACTTAAAATTATATACGGAGTGCCGTACAAGAGGAGCTTGCCAGTTTTTAAATATTATGTAAATTTCATAAAACAAGATTTTTTATTTATCTTTCTCTGCGAAAATAGTCTTTACATTACATTGTTATGACATTTGAAATTGTCGTTTTTATTGAAAAAAGTATAATTTAATTTTTATATAATAATTAGATTGATAAATAATAGTGTACCTACCTCGGCTAGCTATTTAATTTTTATTTTAATACATTTTTTATGTACAGCGTGTCTGTGTAAGTTGGCTACATATACAAAACTTTTTTTTTTATTAGTTTTATCAAAAAAAAACTAATCGAACCTTACAACATGTCTTACTATTTCGAGTGTACTTCGCAAGTCAGTTTTTCCGTTTTGTGACGAAATTTATTTTTAGTTTATTTATTTAAAACACTCTATTTTCAATTTATTTCAGACGTACTATTTAATTTATATAATACTAACAATTCTAATTTATTTCTTACACTTTAACTTTCCAATACAATGTTCTATATTAAAACTGTCTATAATCAACTGACCGCCGTCTTCACACACGCGATATTTATATCAAGCCAACTCTGTAACCAGAATAATCCCGATGGTCGGGAAAATTCCAATTCTGACTCAACGGCACACTCCGCCCGTTCTACCCGTTTCTCGAGCCTCGGCGATATTCCCAGAATATTCCATCGCCTCTAGCATGAATCGGCTGCCCAGACGTGAAGGCCGCGTGCTTAGACAGAGTCGGACTTAATAATTTCATGACAGTTTGTTAAGTCTTCCACGATGGCATTTATTTGTCGGTCGAGATTACTGTATTTTGTGGCTCTTTTATTTAACTATATATTAATATTATATTTAAACGTTGTTATGTAACTAAAAGTTAATCATTTTGTTAAATATATATAATATGTAAAAGATTATTGTATTTCAACCTTTTAACGTTTGGTTAATGATGTTAACCAAATATCTACGTTATTTTAATATTAATTATTCTAGTTTATTTTAACATTCTTTTTAAATGTTATTATGTAATTGTGGTTCAACCGAAAGTTGGATATTAAGATACATACTCGTTTAATATTAACGTTTCTTTAAATTACATAAAACTCGTAATAAAAACGTTATTGTATCGAAACACTTTGACGTTTTGTTTATATTTTACCTAACAATATTAATTATTCTACTTCATTGCAATCATATTTTTAAACATTTTCATTGATTATACTTAGAATATTAAGTTGGTTTATGTTTGTTATGTTGTAAATGGCCAAGGTTTGAAAAATTTCTCATTTGTAAGAAGAGAAAGATGATGGGTTAGGTTGTAGTCATTTTATTTTAAGTAATATAATTTTATTTTAGAGACAACCATATATTCTAAATAATTGGAAGTTTGCGTCTGTTGTTGGATACATTTCTGAAATATCAGTATGTTATATTTCTGATAGGTTTTAAATTATTATTTATAAAATATATGAAATATTACATTTACAGGATATTTTTACATTTTAGGAATGTTTTAGAAATGTTTCTGAGACGTTTCGTAATATTTATATATTATTTTATCATATTCATGATTTCCTTAAAATGGTCCGTATTCGAGAATTTTGACAAAAAGTGCAAAATTCGAATTTTAAAGAAAATTCTTCAAATAAAAGTTGCTTACAATGTAATTCTCTATAATTTTTGTTCCATACATTTCTCTAAAATAGATCGAATTCGGGAAATTTGAGGTAAAGTGCAAAATTCGAATTTTTCTCATTATTTTCACTTATAATACCACTATAGTGACCAAATTATTTCCGGAAATATTTTAGAAATCGCTAATAATATGATCCCGATATCATGCTCTATATTTTTTGTTCTACACATGATTTCTCTAAAATAAACCGTAATGGAAAAATCTTCAATTTTTTTACATCAACTAACTTTTCAATGCTCGCTATCTGTTAAAATCAAAGCTTGTTCTGCGATGTCATTCATTTCTCTTAAATTTTCGATAATTCATTACTATACCTGAATCAGAATCAGGGTACATAAACTATGGTCAAATTTCATATCCCGTCGACGCCCGAGTTGCGAACTCACAGGTGCACAATTTTGGAGGGCGCCCGAGTTGCGACGAATTCAGGTAGTTTTATATTACGCCTGAGTTGAGAAAGTACCGTTTTGCACAGATAGAATTCAAATAAATTTTGATTATCTATGAATTGATTTCAAAACTCTATTTAAAAATAAAAATATTTTACTGTTTGCCGCACTCTGAATTTGCCGCCCAAGGCACGGGGTCCGGCTTGTTTAAAGCAAAATGTTTATTAAGAAAGTTATTTATGATACAAAATAAAGCCTGAAACGTTCAAATCAAAAAAACAATTTTTCAATTTAGAATAATCATAGTACATTTTGCTTCTAATAATAAAATCACAATACCTACTTCTCTCTTCAAAAATTTTTATGTTTTATTCATTAATTAACATTGTGTACATCTGATCTAATATTTTTATATTCTATATTTATATAATCTTATTCTAGACCAGCAGAATTTTTTATAAAGAATAACTTTTCTCGTCGTAAACTTATTAACAATTTTTCTCCTCTTATGAAGTCAATCTGAGGACATACTGTATATTAAAACATAAAGCTGATTAAGGACAAAATTTACAAAAGGAAACCAATAATTAATTTATCATTGTTCAAAGAATTTTTGAACAACCTCGATTTCAGAATTTTTGAAATTTTAATGAGACACTTTTTGTTTAATTTTTGATAATTTTTGAAAATATCCTATATTCAGAGTACAACAAAAAAATATGTACATTTAATTATTTTTCATTATGACCTTCCTTCATGGGCCTACAACTCGGTAATTAAGGCTTTCACAAACAAGTTTCAAAACAGATGTAGGATTTCAGTGGCGACCTGTTTTTATTGAATTTCATTGTTTCAAGAAGTAGGGGGTCGAAGGGATGTGGATTGTGGAACCCTTCTGAAAACCTATAGAATTTAAACAATTTTAAACGCCACTATTGGTAACTACATACTAACATCTCATGTACATTTTCACAAAAATATGAAAAAATCACTTGACATACTGTAACATTTTTTTACTATCCATTTTTTAAATAAGCAAGATAGCTTAAATAGATTTATTTTCGACCGCAGATACTGTGGTTAAATTTACTGTACACTTTTTTAATATAATGTACATATTGCTTCTGCAGACCTATTAATTTAAAGCTGAAAAGGAACAGTGACCTTATTGCCTCTGATTTTAAAACATACCTACATGATGAAGCTGGCATTGTAACTTTGAAAAATGCTCCAAGAAATTGCCACTATTTACATAAAGACGACAAAACAGTTGCAGCGATCAGCATTTGTTCATCAAAAAATATTGTAAGTAGTAATTTTTCTTTTTATGAAACAGGTGAGATTATTTTGAAATTTTAATATACCAGTAGGTGACGCATAGCGCAAAATGCATTACAAAAAATGGGTAAGAATTTTATAGTTGTTAATATATAAGGGAGATGTGTCTGAAATGGTAATTTTTTTGGAGAACCATTTTAATTAATAATTGAAGAGTCCAAAGCAAAAACAATGAATATCATTAAAGAGCAGATATTATGTAAAAAGGTCATGGCCTCTATGTCCCCGCTTGGTCTGCATTTCTGTCTGTTTTTAGTGGCGTGTTGTGTTTTGTAATTAAGAGCTTTTCTCCTAACTTGTGATTTTTTGGCGGCACCTCGGGGGTTTTTAAAACTTTAAAAATTTTTTTCACGACTTGGCAATTTATCTGCCTTCTTGTTGGGTTGTGGGTGTAAGGAAAAAGAACGTGTTTTCGGTTGTTTTTGTAGGTTTAATGGTCCTGGTATTGGACTATTTGGATGGCGAGGTGGTACTAACGTTTCAGAACAAGAATGTGTGGTCGTCAGTTGCTTTTGAGTGCCTGATGGTCCAGTTACTGGTTTAGTATTTTTATTGATTTCAGTCTTTTTCGAGATAAGTTTCAGTCTTAAATCACTAAGGGGTAAATCGTCGTCATCAGAAAAGGAGTCTTGTTCTGCAGCTCTTCTTGAAAGCGTCGATGGTGCGAAGGCTTCATCAGCTATGGCATTCGGGTTAAATGGGAAAATTACTGTAGCTCTAAAACCACTTGTTATGTTCGCTAAATTCATGGATTTTTCCCAAACCGGTGTAAAGACATCAGAGAATCTGTCCTTATTTAAACGACGGTCTGGATGCTGGTCCCAATATGTTAGTAGCTAATCGTTCCAATAATGTTTAAACGATCGGAATACAGCCTTGCTGAGAGTGAGTCGTGTTACTAGGGAGGAACCGTAACTCAACATCAATTTCTTCGGCTTTGATTGCTATTGAAATGTCTAAAGTTTTACAAAGCAACCCGCGATAACTCCTGACGGCACAGGTTAAATAAATTAGTTATTGTTTTTATAATCTTAATTAAAACACGTGAAAATATATATGTTTTCTTTCATTTATTTTACATTTAACAATAAAATCGCTTTTTCCACTTTTATCTATCTTTGAACATAACGATTTCTATTAAAAGTATCTTCGAATATAAATTTTTCGAAGAGACTGTCATTCGAACAAACGTATTTTTGAGCTACGATTTTTCGAACAAATGTGTGCTTCGAACAAAATTTTTCGACCAACGTAATTGGAACAAAATTTCGCCAACCATATTAGAACAAGTGGTTTAGAATAGCCATGTTGGCACATCAGTACCGGGAAAATATCTAACTGGAAAGTCATATGTTAAACACATCAGAAATATTTGTAGATGAAAAATATAGTCTAAAACCACATATATTGGGTGTTACTGAGTAAAATAAAACAAATTACTTATGTAACTGTTTTTTGCTTATACTTTTTCCAAAAATATTCAAGGTGGCAAAGTTTAGATTCGTGCTCAGCGCCCTTAAAAATATTATACAGGGTGGCCACTTTTTTAATGGGATTGTATTAGTAATTTCCAAACCATACTAGTTAGAAAGTCGGTTAAATGGAGAAAAAGTTGCCTATCTCGAAGCATAATCTAGCGGTGAAAATTAATCGAAAATAGCAGGCCCGGCTCTTGAGATATTTCGATAAAAGGAAATTCGATCTTTTCGGTTTTTTGGTTATCGTTCATTTATTTTCAGAACTACTAAAAAATATTTTAAAGGTTTTTTATTTGATAGTAAATTTTCTTTGATTTGACGTTTTCATATTTTGCATCCAACGTTTCGTATTCTTCAGACCACCCTCAACTTATTTTTTTTTAAATATGGACCTGGATATTTTATAACATTATTTGAAATAACTTTTTGTCCTGCATCCAGCGGTGTATTACACAATGGCATTCAATGACGGTTTTTGGGTAATATGGACCGTAATCCAAATTTTATTTAATTTACTCTTGGTTTCAGCCATCTTTAGTTGAATCAACATGTCATGCTCATCGATAAAAAAATAAAATCAATTCTTACAAAATTTATGTAATTTTTCGAAAATTAAACAATTCATCAACAACAATAATAGTAATGTAGAAATTTTAAAACGCAATTAATGATAATAACAAAAAGAAATTCAGTTTTTGTTAGTCATAATCAAATTATTTAAAAATATCAATAAAATTAATTGAGTAATTGTTCAAAATGCCCGCCATCTTCTTCAATACATTTAGCAATTCTGATATTCATATTTTTTATGCTATTGCTTATTTCTTCTTCTTGGATATCTTCCAATGCATCTTCAATCTTTTCGCGGAGAATCTCAATTGTTGCATTTGGTGTATTATACACTTTATTTTTGAGACGTCCCCACAAATAAAAATCTAATGGATTCAGATCTGGTGATCTGGCAGGCCACGCCACTGGACCTCTTGTTCCAATCCATGAATTGGGAAATGATTCAAATAATCCGTGACCATTCTTGAATTGTGTGGACCACATCCATCTTGTTGGAACCAGATTTCGTTAAGACGATACTCTAAAGGAAGATCATCTAACATATCCTGCAGTATATCTAAATATTTTTCTACAGTAAGGTTTCCGTCAATAAAGTATGGTCCCAGTAATTTATTATTTAACAAACCGCACCACATATTCAAAGAGAAACGATATTGATGTCTCACTTCTTGGATTAGGTGAGGATTTTCCGTAGGATAAAAATGTTTATTTCTTCGATTGAGCATACCAGAATTTGTAAATGTTGTTTCGTCTCCCCAAATGATATTGTGTGCAAAGTTGTTATTAATTCTTACCTTTTGTTTAAACCAATTACAAAATCGCAATCTTCTTTCAGGATCATTACGATATAGTTTTTGTACAACTTGGTATTTGTAATCATGGTATCCGTGTCTCTTGATTATCTTATTAACAGCACTTTTTGATAAGTTACATTCACCTGCAATAGTCCTCGACCCAACTCCTGGATTTATTCGAATTTGAGCTAAGACATTAATATCGTTGACTGGCTCCTTTCTTCGAACATACGGAACTCTAGCTTTATCGAATGTATTATGTTCGAGAAGAGTTGTAGACAAACGCCGAAAAATTTTTATATTTGGTTGCATTTTGTCGGGATATAAATCCTCGTACCTTTGTTTTGCTCTGAACGAATTTCTGTTCAGTTTGATGTATAATTCGTACATATCTCGTCTTTCTTCTGCAGTGTATCTTACCATATTGAAGTTAAACTAGGTACCAAGAAACACACAAAAAACTTTTGAACAATGAGAAATTTTCGTAAAGCAATAAAGAACAACATAATAATAATGTGACAGTTCTTGTAATATGGATTGTTTTCACGGCCTACTATATTTTATAACAAGTAAGATGATATTAGTTTAAAATCATATCAATTGCTGTGCCAGTAATAAAATAATATTTTGCCTTCAAATTTGGTAGGTATGTATTGTCAAAAATAGAATCGAGAATATCTTTCAATCATTTACCTTATGAAAACATACTTTTTAATAGTCGAATAATTGAATAATTATTAATTCTCATTTATTTTTTCCTAATTATAATCACTTTATCTTCGAAGTATTATACACTGAAAAAATTAACGCTGATTATAAATTCAATACAGATGATCCGTACCAATAAAATTTGGATTACAGTCCATATTACCCAAAAACTGTCAGTGAATGCCATTGTGTAATACACCGCTAGATGCAGGATAAAAAGTTATTTCAAATAATGTTATAAAATACCCAGGCCCATATTTAAAAAAAAAAGTTGATGGTGGTCTGGAGAATACGAAACTTCAAATCAAAGAAAATTTACTATCAAATAAAAAACCTTTAAAATATTTTTTAGTAGTTCTGAAAATAAATGAACGATAACCAAAAAACCAAAATGATCGAATATCCTTTTATCGAAATATCTCAAGAACCGTGCCTGCTATTTTCGATTAATTTTCACTGCTAGATTATGCTTCGAGATACGCAACTTTTTCTCCATTTAACCGACTTTCTAACTAGTATGGTTTGGAAATTACTAATACAATCCCATTAAAAAAGTGGCCACCCTGTATAAGCTACCCAAAATTCTTCCCCATTTTTTGCAAGGTTTGTGTACTGTATGAAATTTAAAATGTATATTTTTTGCATTAAATATTTTGCTAATTTTCGTCATTCAAAAATAATGTGTGATTTTAGCAAGGATTAATTTTCTTAGAAAATACAACTTTAGAAGTTCAACCATTAAATGAAAGGTTGCAAAATATTCTTGATTTGAAAGCACCTCTCACGGAAACAATAGAAAATGAGGAAGATATAAAAATGCCACATCTTATAAAAAGAGCGACGTTTTTACCTCGTTATACACATCATGAAGCCTTTCCAATAACTGAAAATATTTGGGCAGATAATGAAGAGTTAAGACCTACTCAAAATCAACTTTTAGGTAAAATATTTTGTAAACTAGTACATTTTTACATATTCTTTTCTTTGACAATATGGTGTTCATGCACTTCTATATAGTTCTTGTTTTTTTCTTTCCTTTTTTCAATAATATGTTTTCGATTTATTTTTAATATATTTAAAATACAGAATATTTCATAATCAAATAATAATACTGATGTGATATCGAAAATATTTTTCAAATGGACTTTTGGCTATCATAATCATAATTTTTTAAACCTTCTTTAAAATCTAAGGCCAAGAAACCGGTGTCGGTCACTTGTATTTTGTACTCATTTTTTCCACAGTCTGTGCCATTTAAATTTCCGTTGTCAGAATTAACAATATCCCACCACATCTTTCTTGGTCTGAATAATTTTAATCTCTTATCGTTTTAATAACCAAAAAATCTTGGACGGTTAAACGGTTACGGTTGTGTATGAGGTATTAATACACTATGCCCTAAAATATCTATTGTGTCTCCTTCTCAAGGAAATGTAGTATTTGGAGTGGCTTCGAGTTAGGTAGATCGCCCTATTTTATTTGGTATGTGGATTTTGGAGTGATACACGTTGTCAGAATATGAATCAAGGTTTCGTCGTCTTTCTCACAGAATCTGCTGCCACCACATTCTACTAGTATTAGTTTACTAAGGTCTCATTTGAGTCGGGTATGCCCGGTAAGTATCCCTGTTACAATGCGTAGCCTGTTCTTGCTAAGATATCTATTCTAATTTTAGTCACCCAGAAATATCTTAGCTTGTCTTAGCCTCAAGAGATTGTTCCAATTATCGGTTCTTCCACTGCCCAATTCTTTTTTAGTCACTGCTCATGCCGCACAACGGTTCAGGTCACAAAAAGGGATTTTTGAGCCCCTTTCCTTGCAAGACTATCTGCAATCTCGTAATATTTTATTTTTTTATGTCCCAGTACTCAAATGACCGTAACTGTATTTTCCTTGCTTAGCTCATTAAGTTTTTCTAGGCATCTAGACATAATGATAATCTTTTGTCTACGATAGTTTCTCTCGATGTTGAACTGGATACACTTCTCAATGTCGTGAATTTCCGCCAGGAACATGCTTGGTTAGTAACTCAAATTTTCAGAGTACCTGGTTTTAGGCCCACACACTCCTATTCCAGTTCCTTCTGTGGTTTTGAAACCATCTGTACACCGCACTAAATTGCATGCCTTTCGGTTGCAAACACGATTTATTCTTGGCTCCATTCTTTCTCTCAGCCCATCAGCTTTGTGGTTTTAAAGTTTTTTTTTTAAACTGTCTTTCTTATCCCTGGGGTATATCCCAAATATCTAAATACCTTCGGTGCTGGTGCTAATACTCCAATCCTGGTCATTCTATATCTTGCCCTTTTTTGGCACGATATCTACCATTAAATATAGAGAGCTGAGGTTTAACACCATCAGTGATGATGCAAACAAAGGCTAGTCTTTGTACTTTTGAGATATTAACTCTCTTAGTAACTAAACTAGTTTTGTTACTCCAGGCAAGGGATGATTGGTGTCACTATTCCTGCATATACATGAATCGCAAAGTATTCGGGTTACATCCCCATCTTTTTCTCGCAATGTTCCTGGTTACTATTAAGGCTATTGTGGCCTTAAAGGTTACAGTTAAAATTCAACAGGTTTTTTTTAATTTTAGAAAATGATTTTAAATTTCAAAATCATAATGCTAATTTTTATGCTGAAGCTGCTAGTACCAAAGAAGTTAAACTTACTTTGGAAGTTGCATTATTTTTTGACGAAGCCGCATATAAAATTTTTGCACCTTTTTTTAAATATGATGACAAGAAATTACAAGATATGTTGCTGGCTTATATTAATGGTGTAAGTAGTAAATAAAAAAAAATTAACAAAAAAATTAAATAGTTTTTGAAATTCTAGGTTCAGGCATTATATCATCATCCCAGTTTAGGTACTTCTTTAGAATTGGTCTTGGTGAGGTTAGATTTGATGAAAAGGCAACCAAGAGATATGCCGCATTATGATGGAGAAAGGGGTAAATTACTAGATAGTTTTTGCGCTTACCAAGCGAAAATTAATCCAAAGGACGACAGTAATCCTGACCATTGGGATATGGGCCTATACGTTTCGGGGTAAGAAATAAATCAATTAAGAATTTCGATCTTTTATAATTTAATACAATCCTAGTAGCTACTTTTTTAATATTGGTTAATTGTTTGGAAAGTAGCGGCGCGAACGCATTCTAAGAAGATTTATATAAAAGGTCAAATAGCTGCCTTGTCCCTTTTCAAATCTGGTAAGAGTGAGTGTTAAGTATAAGTAACGTATTAGTGTATCCCCAGTTACGGCTATTAAGGTCGAATTCAATTACTCGCGTATAAGGGAAGATATTAGCTCCAACCCTCCTTCCTTTTTAAGGGAAAATTCTATCCCATTTATATATAGGACTTATAAGCAACGGAACCTTCTTGGAATCTTAGAATACTTCGTGTACTTTAACAAAATTCAGAATGGTAGCTGCTTCTGTTCTGAGTTTAAGAGAGGAAATATTGTAACGAAGGAAGTTCTATTGATTTTATAGTAGCGGAAATCTATCGCTTTATCTGTGAACATTGTTCATCAAGATCAAGACGGGTGCCGTATATATTCAGCAGCCGGAATACTAGTATTAATCTAGAAGCCCATTGCATGTAGTACTCCAGCTGGTCCCTGTTAGTACTTAATCATGTACCGATCTTTATATGAGGGAGTGGTTCAGTGTGACTGCGTGATATTTGGTTTATTGTTGTGATTAATGAGCCTGAGTCATGGGTTTGTTAAGTTAGAATAGCTTTATAAACTCGGACAAAATATTGAAGAAGGTTATTCCTCCCTGTTCACGTACAACAATCATACTATACCAGAGCATAATGAATGGAATCACGCGCTTAAAACTGCAGAATTTATCGGTATCACGTGCCAACTAGTCATAAATGCATGAAGCCAAAATGTATTACGCCAGTGGCGTATAAAAACTATTGGCAAATTAAATGCGGTAATAGTAAATAATATTAGATGAAAGTAGGTTGTAGTAATAATCATTTATGTTTATAATTTTGTTTTGTTTATTGTTAAAATATGTAAATATTATGCCAGTGGCGTAGAAACACTATTGGAAAATTAAATCGGGTATTATACTAGAACAAAATATTGAAGAAGGTGCGCCTTAAAACTGCAAAAGGTATCGTTATCATATCAAAATGCACTCTTCCAGTGTCGCAGAAATACTATATTGGCAAATTAAATGGGTATTTGTGAATATTACTATATGAATGTAGGTTGGTTATCTATTTTTGTTATAATAATTCATCTATGTTTATAATTGTATTTTGTTTATTATAAAAATATGTAAATTAAGCTTGGTATCACTTACTTGAATTCTAAATCTATGAAGTTTCGTAATCCATTGATTCTGCAGAACTATCACTGGAATCGTCTTTATCGTCGGAACTTAAAGTTATGACTAAAGGTTCAACTACCGTTTCGATCATATCGTCCAAGCGCCACATATTTTATTCCGTAATTACATGGGAAATAGCACTCTGCTAATCTTCAGGTTTTATACGTTCTATACCGGTTTTTAATAAACTTTGAACGTCGGCTATTTTAAAAGTTTTATTTTCTCGAGCTACAAACCCTTTCACTTGTGCCCAAATTAGTTCAATAGGATTGAATTCGCAGTGATAAGGGGGAAGTCTTAGTACCGTAATACCACGATCACGAGCCATTGTGTCGACAACATATTGAATATATTTATGGCGGTGTTTCTTTATTAGGTCAATTAATTCCACTTTAACCATCTCCTCAGTAAATGTTATTGCTTTATCCCGCAGCCAGGTTTGCATATCCGCTTTCCTATTGGACATTATCGGAATGCGTTCAACTCGTCGACTGTGATAAGAAGCGTTACCTAATACAATAACTGAATTTCGCTCTACACGCTGTAATACTTCAGTAAACCATTTTTCAAACCATTCCGCATTCATGTCCTCGTGGTAGTCTCCTGTTTTTTCGATATAAATACAAGAGCGCTATTTTCCAAAAATCCACTGTCACTTCCGATATGGGTAACAATTAGGCGCTGCCCTTTACCTGATGGTGCTTTCAAACCTATAGATAATCCCTCTATAAAAGCTTGGCGATGACTACTTACAGAAGTATCTTGCCATATCTTAGATACCCTGTGTCCAGCATTCACCCACGTTTCATCGAGATAGTATATCTTTTATTTAGCGGCTCTATACTCTTTAATATTTCGTAAATAACGCCGTCGCCAGGACACTATATCTGATCTCTCAATTAAAATTGATTTCCTACACCGTTTGACAAAACGAAATTTTAGGCTCTATAAAATTTTTCGTAAAGTTTCACGGCTCATTAATGGATTTTCTTCGTTTTCTCTTAATTTCGTAAAAACAACTTTAAGTGTTGGGGCTTTGTTTTCGAAAAAAAAAAAAAGAATGTACAGTTCTTCGAATGATTTGTTTTTGGTTATCGTCCAATTTCAACAATTTTCGACAACGGGTATGCCTTTTAGGGGCTTCTAAGGAGCCTTTTTTTGTCTTTTCGCGTACAATACGTTCAATTGTTGAAACAGATACTCCAGTTAAAAAAGAACTGCGGTTTACAGCTTCATTTGTAGGAAGTGTCTGTTTCAGCCCATCATACACTTTCCATATAATGTTCTTTTCATCCTTTGATAAGGACTTTCGCTGACGTAATTGGGCTTCACTTGGACCCGCCTCTGAATCCATTACTATTGTAACAATATAATTCTACTATTAAATTGTTTTTATTAAATTTATAAAGACACCAATATTTTACTATTTAATAAACTAACAAATACCTAATAAATAATTATTTGGTATTTGATACGCCGCCTATGCTGACTCTGTTACTTTCCGTCGGAATTTTCATTCATAGACAACAGTCTTGATCATGCATATGACTCACCTTCTCCAATATTTTGTTCAAGTATAGTTTTACTAGTATTTGGTTTTAACCGTAACAAATTTTACAAATGTTTTAATGTAATAAGAGGTTTTTCAATTTTAGTTTTTCAGAAATGGTTTGTTACCTTATTTTAAATTAAAATAAGTAAAAATGTATTATTTTCAGGTTGGACTTTTTTGCTTACGAAAAAGGTAAAAAAAGTGGTGTAACTATGGGTTTAGCGACAGTGGGAGGAGTTTGTCTGGATAAATATGCCTGCGTTATTGCTGAATTTGGTACAACAAATGTATTTGGAAAACCATATCCCAGTGCAGGGTTTACCAGTGTGTACATATTGGCTCATGAAATAGGACATAAGTAAATACGTTTTATACATTTTTTTATAAAATCCTCACATCAATAAACTGATATTTTCCAGTATTAAAAGCTTGTATGTTTTAGTTTGGGAATGCATCATGACAACAGTGGTAACAGTTGTCCAAAAGAAGGTTACATTATGTCTCCATCAAGAGGAACCAATGGCGAAACGCAATGGTCTAGCTGTAGTGCAGATGTCATGTCTAAACTTGGGTAAATATTATTTACTTATTCAAAAATTAGTGTCCGTAAAAAATATTGTTAAACACACATAGATTTACCATCAGACACAATTTATATTCAATTAATTTAGAAAGTTTGTACGTTTAACCGCAGTTTGTTGAGATGATAATAAATCAAATACGTGGATACATAACACCGAACTACAGATGTGAAGCTTTGTAATTTAAAAAATTTAAATGTTTTTATATCCGCAGTTCAACTAGTCATTAGGGTTTTAAAATTAAGCACACTCTTAGTTTGAGAGTCTCTGAAGTAAATTTCAATTCAACTGTGCATTTATTGGCAATCTTAAAATATTTCCAATTATTATCTGTCAGGATTCTACGAAAATTTTTCGAATAAATATTTTTTTCGTAAAGTAGGAACCTCATATTTGGGTATACTAATTTTTCGAAATATCATTTTGCAAAACTCTAAATTTTCGAAAAGTAAACTAATCGAGTTAAAATTTTATCAAAAACGAATCGTATATTTGAAAAATAAATAATTAAAAAAAATTTTTTAAACTGGAGTGGGTTCAATTTTTCTTTGCTGAAGTTGATTGAATAGGATGTCTACGTGGGGCATCACATGATGAAAAAAAGTCAGCCAAAAATTGAATATCGGACCATTTAATGTACGGCGAGTAGAGGCGGCTGCACTACAGACTGTGTTTTTTGGTGAATTGTTCTTCTATTTCATGCATACACTTAATGAGAGACGCTCTATTTTCGTATACAACATTAATGGTGCTTATATTAAATTTCCAACGGGTTGTAGCGCCGTGGGAGATCCTTCTCTTCACAATCTTGTTTAAGACTTCTACTCGATGGGGTGAATTATTAAAAAAGCCCAGAATTTCATGTAAATTCCCAAAAAATACACGTACTTGCGAATTTGCAGAAGCAGCTTTAGACATAATTAAATTTAACTAATGGGCATAGTGAGCAAAAGGATACTTTTTTTTTTTAATTAATGCTTGAACTCCTGCGTGTTGGCCGCTCATCACCGCGACTGCATCATAACTTTGTGCAATCAGTTTGTTCGGTAAATTTTGAATTAAAGGATCTATAACAGTTAAAATTGTTTCACTAAGTGTTTCTGCATCACATTTTTTAGGAATTAAGTAGTTCCAAAAACGTTCAATTGGCTCACCAGTTGATTTTTTGCAGCAACATCTGTTGTTTCGTCCGCCATGATCGCCAAAAATGGAGTATTATTAATTTCCTCAATTATTTGTTCATGACAGACATCCAACATACACTGTAACAGATCGTTCTGTATTTCTTTAGAGGTGCCTTTAAATACCGAAGAATTTTTTAGGCGGTCACTTAGAGTTGCATCTAATTCAGCTGTAAAATTTATGAGTCTACGAAATATCTCCGGATTATCGGAAGAATCACTCTCATCATGTCCCGGAAGAGTCGGTTTAAAAGCTCCACAAAACTTAATGCAATTAATAATTTTGGATAAAATATACCTATTCTTTAACACATTTTCATTATGTCTCTGTATATTTAACCAATAAGCAGAATCTAATTAAGCCATAATATTAGTTGTCCCTAGCAACGCAAATTTCATGCAATTATCAAAATGGCTTTTAGAGTTTTCGTGTTTCTTATCTTTAAACTTAAGTGTTCTAGATCGGTGACCCCTGTTTCCGTCCAAGCTCTATCGCCACCAAAAAGTAAACAGGAAAAACAGTACACAGCATTTTTTTGTTGCATGCACACATCCATTTGTTTTTTGAATAAATATCTCTATTAAATTTTCGTGTGTAACTGTTTCCTTTACTTGCACCAGTTTTTTGTATAATTATATCTTGTAATGTTTTACCTTTTGCTTTTAATTCCATCTTTTCTTCGTATGTATATTTAAAAAAATTCTTTGTTAATTAAATTGAAGACCACTTTCATAGTACACAGATAATTGTCAGCAATACACAAAAACACTTAAAAATATTAAAATTATTGTTTAAATCACCGGTTTGTTATAACCGTGGGCGCATGGGTAGCGGAGTGCCGCGCGGGTGTTTGAAAGAGCGCACAGAGCTCCATCATGTGGCCCAGATAAATAATAGTTCAGCGACAGCCTGTACAAGCGTGTGTGTCGGCAGGTAGGTAGGTTATTCCACTGGTCAAATTTACGTACACGGACGCCAGTGATGCCGGCGCTTCGCCAGCAGTTTTTTTTAATCATTAATACAATGCGAATATAATATTATACAATTTCTTTTTGGTAATACGAAATATTTGAGTTAGATTATGTATTTAGCATTTTTTGGGAGCTCTGCAGCACTGCAGCACTTATCTACCAGCCGCCACTGCATTCAGTTTCGTCCTATCTACCAAAAATAACATATAATTATTAAGAATGTTTGTCCAATCTCCATTTACTTATTAAGTTTAGTACAACTTAAAGGTATCAAATAAAATTAGGAAGCAGGAAGTTCTATCTGTCGGAGTTAGGGGATGTTTCGCGCGTCCTGTGGCGTAATAGAATCCAAAAGTCCCGGATACGAATCCTGGCGGAAACCAATTCTTTTTTGAATGATTTTCAATACATCCGCATGTCACAAAATTAATTCCTTTATAAATTTTATTATTATTGTCCTGTGTTTACATTTTTTTCAGATTCCTAAGGATAAACGTCCTAACTAACAAAAAACAAAGTTTAGGGCAACTATGCGATTTGCAAAGTATATGTATTGATTTATATTGCTTTAAGTTAACTTATGCCAAAATTTTATTTCTTTTGAACAATATTTACACAGTGAACAATATGATAACAGAAAATCGTTAATAACTCAAAACTTTCCTCAGGTCAGATAGGACGTGTCAGCTTAGCAGGACATAAATATAATTCAGATAAAATTTTCTATTTCAAAGCAAGTTAGCTCGATTTATTATTATTTATTTGAATGCTCATGAATGCCGTAATGGCATATGTTTATTGGTATTCGACATTGAGATATATCATAATTTTTGTTTTATTTTTAGATGGGCAAAATGTTTAGACGACCGCGGTAAAATCAAGATAAATGCAGATCATAATAAATTCATGGACACGCCTGGACAGAAATATACAGCAAAGACGCAATGCGAGCTCCTTTTGCGTGATAGAGATGCAACTGTTTTACCAACTCAGGATTTGTCGACAATATGTTACAATCTACATTGTAAAACTCCGCATAGGAGCGGCTATTATTTTGCCGGACCAGCACTTGATGGCACGAATTGTGGCAATGGAAAGGTATATTTTAATAAATAAAAATAAAATACCTACCTACTAGTATTTGAAAGATATGCTGTGTGCTAGAAATGAGTGTCAAAATATTTGTATTTCGAAAACTTGAGTTTTCTAGTTACATTTTTTAATGTTTATTTGTTTTTTGTTACCCGTCAGCATAAATAGAGATTATTATTAAACAAAAACTTAATAAACAAAAAATGAAAATAATTCCATACTCAACAGCTGTGACCAAGATATAGGTAAAATAAAAATAAAAACTAAAAGCTATGTGTCACAAATAATGCAAGAGAACGTTTCTCTCTGGGAAACAACTGGGTATTCATTTGGCTAATACCACAACAGGCACTGAATTATACTAAGGAGAACGACATTCTTGGACCGGTTTCGTCCTTGTTATTACTCGTCAGAAAGTAATAGATATTATCAGGGGCATACCAAGCCTTTGAATCAGGGAGGCACCATGAGTGCCAGCCTTTGATTTAGGGACCTGGGTTTGAGGTGACAGAGTTTTTAAAACAAGTTAAATTATAAGCTTTGTTCGCGGTAAGAATCCTGAACCGAATTATCACTAATAGTAACGATTTCGCAGGTGCAGTAGGTAAAAATAGTTCGTGGAACAAAAAGAACTGAACTATTGGTTCTATCCTGCGTTCGCGGTAAAATTATTATTGGTTTTGAACCGCTTGTGTTATACCTGGAACACCTATAATAGGGATTGCGCGCGCTGTAAAAATTCAGAATTGATATAGAATCGGGCATGCGCTCAAAGTATGAATTAGTAATTCTGAATCAGTTTAGGATTGTTACCGCGAACGAAGCTATTGTTACTAAAAATAATTATTAATTAACACAAAAAAAAGAATTCTTTTTTAAGAAAATCTCAAGAAATTAAAGTAGGAATGATTTGAAGATTCAGTACAAAAAATCGAAAATAAAGTCAACAATACACATAACCTTCTTGGTCTCTTTTTTGCGAATTTTTTGATCGTTTGATACTAGTTTTCTATGTATACTGATCATGAACCGCCCACTTAATCTTTCTTATGCCATTGTGGACCTCACCAGGTTTTACTTTCCTAAGGATGCTGAACGTCCTTTCAGTGAAAGCATTTGTGCACGAGAGTACCAAGCACATCATTATTCTCTTCTTAATTGCTGTGTAAAAGTCGATCTTAGCAAAATCGGATACGAAGTCAAGCTCTCCTTCATTCTTCAAAGGCCAAAACCGGTGCCACAATTATATATTAATAATTTTTGTAAATTACACCCTCATGTCCCCAAAGTGAAAACAAACCAAAGAAAAATTGAAAAAGCTGAGAATTAAAGAAAGAAAAAATGAGAGCATCGGCCGGGAGTCGAACCCATAACCTCCAACTTGAGCCGTCTATACTCTGCCAATTGAACTACCAACACACAAACATATTCATTTTAGAATTCGCAAATTTAAAGTCAATCATATTCCGATTTTCATCGGTACAAACAAATTCTCATCCAATCTCAGCTCCTTCATTTCTCCTAAAAGCTACCCTTTTGGCATCGATAATTTAAAATTGTACTAGATCATATTTCTAAGATCCTTCATTCGTTCAGCAGTATTAAGTTTTCCGAAAACTTATTTTTTCTTTCAATAATTCTCATTTTTTTCAATTTTTCTTTGGTTTGTTTTCACTTTGAGGATACGAGGGTGTAATTTTCATAATTTCGAAGGTGTAATTGGGGATTTTTCATGTTCATAATTTCCAAAAATTGCATTTAGGATCTAAACCGATTTTCTTCCAATTTTAATTCTGATGCTAAGTTTTTAATATAAAAGTTAGCTATTTCTGCTTCGGAAGAATTTAAGATGTCTACAGATAACTCTCTAACTTAGGTGGGGTGAAGATTATGTAGTTCAAAGGCCAACCCCTGCTTCTTGCTGAAACGCTCCTTCAAATATTTAATCTAGGGGAATGGTATTAAAATAGATATTTTGAAGTACTCTTCAGGTGTTGTTACTGGTGGTTTGATGCGGAATGACTGTATTGTTGCTAATCGGGGCACACGTATTTCTACTTACAATTTCATGGTGATTGTTCTCATTTTATTCATGATAGCTTCTTCCACTGTCTCCTTCGCTTCGTTCCATTTGCTGTGAACATTTAAACAAATCTATTGCAATCGCCATTAAATTTAGATTAGCTACGCAATTTCAGAAGCAATTTTGATCACTTTTTTAATTTGTTAAAATTATTTTTTATACAACCCCAAGGTTTTGAAATCGAGATTCAACGACATTAATACATTTTCAAGATTGTGGCGAATGAGAGGAGGGGTGCAATTACCTCCCTGTCCCCCCTTGGCTACACCTATGGATATTATCGATTCCAATCTCTAATAGAACCTGTAGATGCATAAAATTCACGATGAAATCTCTTGCTCATCAAAAATATAACCTTTTTTTAAAGTAGATAGGCGATTTTTTTTAGCAATAGCGATTAATAAAAAACGTATAAACATCAAAGAAAATCTTGAAAACCAAGTGCACATATACACAATTAAAATTTTGTCATTAATTTCCACTATTTTGAATTTATTTCTGAAATAATATTTCAACATTTTTCTTTTTATTTGACAGTAAAGTTTATATTCTTTTTAGTACTGTTACGGTGGTAGTTGCTTGAAAAAAGCTCTTCCAAAACCAATAAAAGTTATACCAGGAGGTTGGGGTCCATGGAAGGAGGAATCATGCAATTCGGGTTGTATCGAAAAATCTATGGGACACACTATCAAAAGAAGACAATGCAATAACCCGCCACCTGTTAATACAGACCAGGGATGTATGGGGTCTGGTGTAGAATTTGGTCTTTGTAATGACAAGAAGGTGAATAATGACATGACATTTTTGATAGTTTTATCATTAGAAAGAAAAATTATCTATAATATGTTGAGAGCATATATTTTCTCGACCTTTTCTTGATAATAAGTATGTTCCAATACACGCGAAACCGATAATATTATGGTACAAATCATGCGCTCTACGCCAAAAGTGTATACAGCGCATGATTTATACCGTAATATTATCGGTTTCGCCCTCATATAATTCAATTTGTGCAATTGTATCACAAAAAAGTGTATAATACGTAGATATTAGAATATACGAGGTACACTTGATGTAAGCTGTTATTATCACATTCTAATACCACTTGTACCTTTTTTTTGAAAACAACTGTACATTAGGTACCATTTCTAACTGGCGAATTATTGTTAAAGCCAGTGGATTTCGAAAAGTGAGCATAATATGCAGAATTTACACAAGCACTCTTCACAAAAGAACATTGTAAATTATTGAGCTCATTTTATGTCGATATGACGTAAATCACCTCGTCCAAAAATGGCACTCTATCATTCTTTAAAATGGTTTCCTTTCAAGCGATAAATAACAGTCTGTATATTTATTTGGTGGAATATGGCCAAAAATGGAAATCAAATTTAAAAAAAGACGATAGACTACTGAAAAGAAATGTACATATAACTTAAGAAGCAAGTTGCTATCCAGAGGAACATAATTTGGATTATACAAATCAATAGTGAGACATGTATCATTGGAACTGTAACTTGGACAATGCATAAGAGTGAACAAAGAATGCTTGCATTACAGGAAAGTCTGTGAAAAATTTCAAAAGGGAAAAGTGAACGATACATCGTTCATACATGAGAAAGAAGAACCAACAAGGAATTTCAGAGATCTATTTTATTCCGTCTTTCTTTTCTGTAAAATAAGTACCAAATTATAATGTGGTGTGTTGTTTTGAGAAATTTTGTTTTTCTTGTTTACCTGTTTAATGCCTATTCGAGTTTTTATAAAATAGACCACAATTTAATGATTTTCTTAACTGGCTGCTTTTTAGGTATGCAAACAAAAGAAACTCTCTTCAATTGATTATGCTTCAAGAAAATGTGCTGAATTTTCTAAAGTTCTTCCAGAATTAGATTCCAAGGGTTCTGGTCTGCAAGCACCTCACGAGGAAGGTTAGTAAAACAAAATAATTATTAGTACATTAAAAAAGAAAAATGTTTTTTTTCGCCTTTCCATTGTTGCGGTGTTTTGATAGATGTGGTTTTAAAGGGTTGCCGTGCGATCGCCTGAGGCCAACCCTGTTCTTTGGATTCTGCTCTGTTACAGTGCGAGCACTCTGCTGGGCACGGTCTTCTAGAAAGAAAATCGGCACTTGTGCTGCTTATTCCGACTCTATGTTCGATCTTAAAGTTGTACTCATTTGACGATTTGACCCTCCGGAATTCTGAACTGTATCAGCCTCTTGGTCGGTACGGATTTAGAATTTCCTTCCATATAGGTATTATTGGTAGAAGTGTTCAACGCATTTTACAACTGCCAGGAGTTCTCTTCTCGTTACGCAGTAATTTCGCTCTGGTTTCGAGAGCACTTTACTAAAATAACTTAGTACTCTTTCTTTTTCCTGAATCTGTGAAAGCACTCCTTAAATTTCCACAGAACAAATTCTTCCTCTGGTAGTGGGTAGCCTAGTATTGGCGCTGTTGATAAATGCTTCTTTAATGTTTCAAAGGCAGTTTGGCAGTCTTCATCCCAGCAGAATTATCTCGCTTCTTCGGTAGTATGTACAGAGCCCAAGAAAACTTCTTATTTGATGTTTATCAGTTGGTTGTGTTGTGGCCATTGTTTGATGGAAGCGACCCAGGTAATTAACTTTATTTTGGGGTTTAGTATCAGTTGGGCGGCTTGAGGTCTTCTAAAAACATCTTTAGTTCTTTAGATGTTCATCAAATGTCTTCCCCAAGACTATGATCTCGTTTAAATTTACTAGGTATGTTTTCTTGAATAACCCTCTCAATACATTTTCCATCAGTCGTTCAAATGTCGCGGGGACATTACATAGTCCAAATGGCATGGTATTGAATTGCCACAATGTAGCTCCGGTTGTAAAAACTGTCTTTTCTTTATCTAATGGGTCCATTTCCACCTGCCAATATACAGACTTCAAGTCTAAGGTAGAAAATAGTTTACTTCGGGCCAATGTGTCCAAGATATCATATCCCATATAACTGTCTTTCTTGGTAACATTGTTCAACTGACAGTAGTCCACACATAACCTCGTAATTCCATCCTTTTTCTGGACCAGGACTACCGGAGAGACACATGGGCTGGTAGAAGATTCTATCGCCCTGCCCTGTCTTCCTCCATTTTCCGAACAATCCCTTATCCCTTCAGCTTTCTTTCTCTTGGCCTTTGGTAATCTTCGAGCTGATTGACGAATTGGCCTAGCGTCAATTTTATGTTATACAACAAAAGTTAATTCTGTTTTTCCTTCTTTTGGTATAAAAATGTCACGATATCATCGAAGAAGTTATTTTTCTCTTCTCTAACTGATTCAGAAATGGACCAGCAACTGCAATCATTTGTTCGAATTTATCATTGAAATTATCAAAGTTGTTGTCTGACGAGTTATGTAAGTTACTGGTATACAGGTTGCAATATTCAATTGTCACGTTGGGCTCCAATTTGCAATATTTCATTGACACGTTGGGCTCCAATTTGCAATACTGATTGTTACCTTTTTGATAAATGTTAATTTCAAAACACTTATAGAGATTTTTACTATCTCAGTGAAATTTAATATCATACGTTACTTACCTTTAAAAATTAAAAAAATAAATGAGCACATCCTTTTCTCTGTCGTGAATTCGGCTTTTCAAATAGACAATTTTAAGGGTAGTAATCTTTCTAGGAAGTGTTGGGCACCAATAATTCTCTTTTTTATTTTTAAAAGCTAGTGAGAATTATAAATTCTAGCTTTATCAAAAAAAAGAAGTTAATAAAAATTATACAGAATTTAGTGAATGAAAGAGAATTTTTTGTGACCTTTAAAAAATAAAATTCAACATATATACTTATAAAAATTAATGATTTTATTTAAAAAAAAGAAACCTTTTCGAAAACAAATTATTCACAGTTATCAGGTATCAAATTGTGATTCGTACATAAATAATTCTAGTCACTAGTAATTACCACATTTTACTTTGTTAGCTAACCACTTCTAGATAGCCATAGGTAGTTGAGATTTCTGTCCCTCGGAAACCAACGCCTTTGTCGGTTAATCTTTCTTCTTATGAAGCTTCGAATTGTATCTGTCGCTTTTCCAATCAACTAACTTTTCACAAGAGATTTCTGCTCCTCGGGAACCAACGTTCAGATTACAGCGGTTGAATTATGGTTTTATGGCTTTATGACGTTATGGCTTTGTAGCTTATGTGGCTTATGGATTTATGGCTTATGACGTTATGGCTTATGACGTTATGGCTTATGACGTTATGGCTTATGGCTGATTCCATTCGTTTGCACTTTAACAGCCAATGCACCACCGATACAATCGAAAGGTAATAATAAAATGAAATTTACAAATCTAATTTGAGATCGTTTGGTTAGTGGTACTCCCACTTCAAGAAATTTCCCTTTCTTTAGAATATTGTGTGTTGGCGATAATTAAATTATACCGGATGGCACACATTTAAAATAACATTTTATAATTAGACTTTTAAAATGTTACAAGGTTCCGATTCTGGTCTCTTTCTTGATGGTACTTGAGTGATCATTAACGTTTATAAGACGTTTCTAGTATAACATCTTCTTCGATATCAGCGACAATAACAATGTGAATGAACTTTTCTGTACCGATGCCTAATTGAACCTGGATTTCCTCGTGGATGTTGGCACTTTCACCTATGGTTGTCCGCAGTCGCAACCTTCATGGTAAAAGTCTCTTGCGATTATTTATGGTTGTTGGTCGTATAATGGTTCTATGGTCATAGTTGTTCCAGTATCCACCAACAGTGTATATTTTTTACCATTTACTTCGCCATCTACGTATACATACACTATCATCGCGACATCTCACATCTCAAAGAGGCTATCAGTATAAGGTGGACGGGTAGCGAAATTAGAAATAGAATACTGGCAGCGGTGAAGGTCAAAGAACAGGGTTGGCCTAAGACATTTGAGGAGTTTCTTTAAAGCTAGTTATATAATACCAAAATGTAGACAGATACCACGAATAATTTTATTTTTTAGGTCGACTTTGGATGGCTTGTGCGATTTTCTGTAAAAGAGGCGATTCTGGTACTTTCTATACTCCCAGAATAGAACTTAATGATTTAGGGATATCTCCTTATTTTCCTGACGGAACATGGTGCAACAGGGAAAATGATGTCAATTATTACTGCTTACAACATCATTGTTTACCAGAGGTAAGTTATTAAAATCGTAGATGAAATATTTAGATAAAAATAAATGAAGAAATTATCTTTATTGAGTTTATAACTGAGAAACGTAAACAAAGACTGCTTTGTCAATTTAGAGATAAGTACGCATTATAAATAAATAGGTACATGATAAAAAAATTTACAAATAAACTAAATATGTTCGAAATAATCCCATATCCCGTGATAATACTCCGTTGAAGCCGATAGTATACAGTGCTTCTCAAAAGTCCCCTCTCCCCTCTTTTCTTTTGAACAGTGATACTTAGACTGATGAAATTTGGAGGGTAAAAATGAACTATTGTAAGTTTCTCTACTAGTGGTAACATGTGACATAATAGGCATCGATGACGTCACCAGGCAACTGAAATCAATAATATTAAATGGAACCTTATATCAAGTGACACCTCGTTTGAAAGGTATTAAGAATACCTATTCAATCATACATTTTTTTTTGGATTTACGATATTTTTGATGGTTAAAATAAGGTCCGATTTAATATTATTGGTTCCACTTGCCTGGTGACGTCACCGATGCTTGTTACGTCACCTGTTACCGCTAGTAGAGAAGCTTAGAATAGTTCATTTTCACCTTCCAAATTTCATCTGTCTAAGTATCACCGTTCAAAAGAAAAGAGGAGAGACGGGACTTTTGAAAAGCACTGTATAATCAATCCCCTCTTGAAGACAAGCTTTCAACAAAGTTTAGAATTAATTTCTTCAAATTTTCTACGCTAGATATATGTTTTTTAATACAGAAGATCCAGCATTGACAGCCAATACTTGATGTGTGAGATGATGCGTTATCATGATGAATATATGCTTCTCAAAAGTGGCAATTTAAATCTTCCACATTTAACAATAATGTTCCTAAATTAACGTTACTTTTATTAATAAATGTATTACTTTTTTTTGTTATTAACCTATAGTACCATATTTTCAGAACTTCAAAATTACAAAAACTTCTCATCACTTGATCGAAGATTTGTCGTTTTTGCAAAATGCTCGTCCTTGGTATTATATACCACAAGATATCAAAGATTATTTATCAGTGGATTCCTCCGGTCGCCCTTTGAAAACTACCTTGTCCGAAAATGGTGCTGCACCCCCAGATGAAGAGTGGGACGATCATGATTATATTGAAATTCCCTGGTTAAAAGAACGACATAAATCTGATGTAATTGATGACAGTTCCAATATCATGTGATTCTTTAAATAAGTTTATTTTCAAAAAATGTTAAAAATATAATTCCAAAATTTAATTGTATATTATTATTACCTGTCCCACGCACTTTCGTGTTTAATTTTTGATCACAAACAATAAAAATATCATTTATGAATATTTAGCATACTAAGTGCAGATGGAGTAACCATTTTCGCTGGTTGAATATCTACATACCTACTCAAAAGTCATCGGCATCAACTGCTACGGTTATTAGCCTCGTGTTCTGTGTAGGCTTTGTTAGTGTTTCCCAGCACCACTTTAGGAACAGCACTGTTAATTAGTACCCAACAGTGAATGGTCGAGTGGGGAATCCTATCAAGGCATCAGAATTAATTTTAAATAATTAAATTAAATGAAAAAATTACGGCCAACGGTGGGATTCGAACCTGGGACCCTTGGATCCGCAGGCAGAGACTCTACCACTGAGCCACCCACCCCGTCATACCTACTCTTAACCGCCAATTTTGTATTGCCAGCATACTTGTTTTAATAAAAACGTTTGGTTACGAAGAACCGTTAGGATTTTCCTTTAAACTGTTCTGTACGTAGTTCTATGTGTTAGATTTTATTAATTATTAAGTCAACAATACACGTCCAGCATTTTTCAATTTCTATATTTTTTTAATCATTTAAAATAAAACCTATGCTCCTCGGATTTTAACAGAATCCGTCCAGCATTTTTCAATTTATATAATTTTTTATATCATATAAAATAAAAGCTATGCTCCTCGGATTTCAACAATATCCGTCCAGCATTTTTCACCCTACTAGTCACGTAATGCTTACTACCTGCCATCGCGTGGTTAAAAAACAAGTCATCTAGTAGGTCTCGGGCAGTTAATATATCATTTAGGCAACAAAACAAAGGAAAAACCAAAAACAAAAGAATCACTTGCTAACACCGCCCATCCAGTACAGTACAACTTACCGATTTTTTCTATTATTATGAATACTCAGATTCCTCATACCATTTACCAGACCACATTTATAAAACATAAAGCTTTCACGATCTAACAATTATACTATATTTAATATTTCAAAAATTTGTGCTAAGCAGACAAAAGTAAAAGCAATAAGTTCAGAGATACTTCTCAGATATTTGGCAGACCTATACTTAACTTCTTTAATCGCAAAAATAAAAGCTTTAAAATAAGGTTCAGAGGTACTCCTTTTCAAATATTTAACTGATCTGTACTTAACTTTTTTTACTCACAAAAGCAAAAGCTTTAAATGGAAGTTCAGAGGTACTCCTCAGATATTTAATTGACCTGTACTTCACTTATTTAACTTTGTTACTAAATAAAAACAATAGAAAAGTTCAGAGGTACTCCTCAGGGATTAATCTAACCTGTACTTGACTTTCTGGTAACATGAAAACAACATTAAGTTGAGAGGTACTCCTCAGGGATTAACCTCACCTGTAGAATGGTAGAATTAACAGTTAATCGTCCATTCTGTCAAATGTCAACAGTTAATAAATTAATTATTGTTACAACATACCTTTCAACTTGCCCAGTAGCGCCCCTGCAATAATTTAATGACGCTTAATATTATTTACATATAAGAATTTTTTTATCGATAAACTTTGTTCCACGTTAATTATAATACGTGCCGGCGTACTAAATATCGTTTTATAATTCTCTAATGTTTTAGTCATTTCTGCTCTGGTTAACGTTTTTTTTTGAAAAGTGTATAGAATTACATATTTCGTAAAAGCATTGACGATAAATAAAGCGTGTTTAAAACCATCTGTGGTTATTTGATATTTTAAACAATGGATCAACACAATCAATACGAATTGTTCAGATATAATTTCCCAAATTTTTTTCTCTTCTCTTTGCCGACAAACGGTACGTGTGATAATTAATGATTTGGTCACTAGATAGCTTTATTTTTAACTCATTGGTATTTATTGTTGAAGCATGGTATAAAAAATAAAAGGTAGGATATCAACAGTGTCAAAAATAGGACGGCTACGCGCATTACGTCACGTGTAGTTTGTATAGGCGCGAAATTAAAAATACTGACGAAGTAAGGAAAATATATGCTATTTATAGAAATTTATTGAATATTAAAGGATAATAGTTCAGGAATTACATGAAATATCTGTGATAGTTAAGGAAAGAACTAAGAAGGAAAATAAATGCAAATATACATACATAAAAGAAATATTTATTTAAATAACGGTTTTTTTTTCGTGTTTCTTTTTAATGATTTATTTTTGATATACAAATTCGAACGGAGGTTCTTAATTTTGAAGAACATTCGACATCTAAAGAATATTTTATATAACCAGGATAATGAGAAGGGTATCTTCGCAACTAGAAACTTCTCAACTGGGGACCCTGGGTATCGCCGGAAATTTTTACCTGATTAGGATTCGCAACTGGTGTGACTCATTTATCTGCATTATTGAATATACTTAACTACCTATTTTATGAAAAAGATGGGATTTATATATAAGATAACAAAAATTTGTTTTTAAAAAATATTTTTCATACAATATAATGCATAGCATAAAAATAATGTACCAGATACAAATAACTGCTACATGGTGGGTGTACACAGGGTGTACCAATAAAAACTCCCAGGCCAGATATTTTGGTAATAGAGATATTTTAATTCTGTAAAAGCCAGTTCATAGAGCGCTAAGATAGTCTCAATTTAAAATATATATTAATTTTAAATAGGTCAAGATGGCGCTGTTCTCAATATTATTTTTTTGATGGGAGGATCTTTCTTATATAGCGCATACTGTAAAAAATGCATTTTTAAGTAGATTTTGTTCTATAAATTAATTCAATAAATCTAGCCATTTTTGATATATAGAGTGGGTCACCTGAAAACAGTTTCATTCTGTTTTTCGGCATTAATCATTGGATTTTAAGAAAATGCTAAAACAGGTCGATTTTTATTCCAAATTGAACACATTTTCACAATGCAGACATCTGTCTTGTGTCAACTTCCTCCCTTCTACTTCTCCAACCCCTTAATTTTAAATAAGGAATGTATCATGTACGGCACATCATTGAAAAGGTAATTTTGTGGGGAAATTATAAATATGATTGTATAATGCGATACTTTTAATTTTAGCGCCCTCTATCGGGATAAAAAAAACCTCTAACGTATTATAAAGTGTGACACTTTATTTGAAAGCTAATTTAATTACTAATACAATGCACCACATATCATTAATATAAATATTTCTATATTGCACTTGCAACAAAATAAAGTTAGCAATAATTTTTAAAATAATGCATGACTAATTTTCAAACTATTGCAATATGGAGGATATTTATATTAATGTTATGTAGCGCATTGAATTAGTAATTAAATTTGCTTTCAAATAAGGTGTCACACTTTATAATACGTAGTTTTTTATCCCGATAGAGGGAGGTACAATTAAAAGCATCGCAATGAACAATCATATTTTTAAATTTCCCATAAAATTACCTTTTTAATGATGTACTCTATAATACGTTATAGTTTTTTTCCGCTAGAAGGCGATAAAATTAAAGTAATGCAGTGTACAGAAATATTTCTGAATTCCCCATTAAATTACCTTTTCAATGATGTGCCATGCATGGTACATTATCTATTTACGAGCGAAAAATCAAGTCACATACTCTTCACTTAACATAAAATCTGATCGTAAGGAAATACTTTTTTATTTTGTATAAACAGCATAACACAGTAACGAAATTTGATCAAATTTGCCGACAAATAAATATTCGGACAAACTTGAATTTTATAGCTTAAATCGACCTTTAATACGAGGTAACGTCACCTTTTGCGGTAATAACGGCTTGAATGCGTCGTGGCATGGAATCTACTAAAGTCTTACAATATTCGGGGATGAAAGAGTTCCAAATTTGTGAAATTTTTTCCTTTAATGCAGGACCTGTACGCTGAGGATCGTTACGCAAAGACTTCTTCATCTGATACCATAAAATCTGACAAGAAAATCTAGAAATTTACACCATTTTCTCACGCAAGCCGTTTGTCATATGCTTAGAAAAAGTAATTCTAAAACGATAAATCAAAAGGCTTGAGAATCGAACATGGAGCATATTATTTATCTAAAAAAGAACTGACAAAAAAAATTATAAATAAATATTTATGCAAAGTTATTATTATTTATTGTTCGGTGATTATTCGTATAGTAAATTTTAATATGAATTTGGTGCTGAATTAACAATATGTTTATTTTATAGAAAAATTTATATATTCTTTCAAAGGGCTATTAAATATAAACTTTAAAATACCTGTTAAGGGTCGATCTTTTAACCTCTGAGTAAAGTTACATGTAGGTTTACTTGACAGATTAACAAACATTATTCCTATAGTTTAATCAGCAAGTAGTTACTTTCAACTTTACTCAGAGGTGAGAAGACTTGGCCCTATTAACAGATTCGTTGCAAAGATATGTTGGTCCATTTTTGAATTTTTATAAAATTAATGTATGTATTAAATAAAAATGCAGCTACTAAACATAAAAAAGTAGATATCCTCGAATTTAATGATGTCAATCAAGTATTCTATGGAATAGACACTTCGAAACCATTTTAAATTGCATTTATGATATTAAAGCAATCAAGAATGTCATGAGATAAATCTTTTAACAGATCAAAATTATTTTCTTGAAGTCGATTAGAAAATGTTGATGTTCCTATGACATTATGTGACATTATTTCAAATTATACAAGTTATTAGATTAAATAATTATTGTACGTTATTTTTTTGGTTAAAATTATAGTTACAGGTTGTTGTGTTCATTACATTAGTTATTTTTCTTCAAATTAAATAATTGGTAAGTACTATGATACACATTTATTTAGTTAATCAAATGAAATATTCGAATTTTTACAATCATTTAAAAGGGCGTTAAGTTAATAAACATTTAAAAGGTAGTCGTTGAATAGTCCGGCCACGAGACAACTCTTATAATAAAATTAATATAAAATAA